AACTTCTTTAAGCAGCTGCCGCATACTATTGTTATTAGGCATGTGTACCATCTGATAGATAGACGATTCCTTGCAAAGGCGAGACCACGCAGGCCCACCCAACATCATTTCCATGTGCGGGCAGACTGAGGGAACTAAGTCGGGTTCGTCCGGGAAAATTGATACAGCACTATTGGTATTATTGCTAATCTTCCACTCTTCACGTAGAATAAAGCGTTTATTAATAATCCTAGGCTCTGTAGTATAAGACTCTGTAAGTGGCAGTATAGGTGATTTCCCCGTACTCGTATAAGTTTTCATCAGTGCCCTGAGGTATCTCCGGTGTATATTTCCCAGGCGAGAGAGCTTGAGGGCAAACTGTACATGGTAATGCTGGACAGAATACGCTTCGATTTCAATTCCTCGAGAACGGTCGGCGGTGCAAGGGACCTCCCTCGAACTAATAGCCCAGTCTTGATATATAACCTGCCGAAGTGCGTTACAGGTGTGTGAAAGGAGGAATTTATCATATAAAGCCAGTTGATCAGTAATCAGAAAGAGAAGGTCTAGCGGAAGCTGGAGAATAACTGCGCTGGGGTTATTTTGGTCGTGGTCCCTGTGACGGTGGCGGTCTTCGCCTAGCAGTCGACGTAGGAACCGTAAACAACGCATTTTGACATACCCGGAACTTGTCTGAGAAGTGGTAACTTGAAATACAAAGGGATCGGTCCTTTTTATACTTTGATATGCTCCATGAAAGCTACGTAATTGTGCGCCAATGGCGTTTTCTACTGATGTGATGAGTGGTTTTTTTTCTTCTTTCTCTTGTCTTCATCCAGAAAATCACCTGGTGGCTAGAAAGCGCCATGGCAAGCTTATAATAGACTTTCAAACCTTGATTGTAAAGACCACCTGGTAATTACCATTAATTCTCCTTTTACTCAAGTTACCGGGCTTGTGGGGCTAATGATAGGTCATGATAATCACCCATTTTCGTAGTCAATCAATCATAAAACGCAAATAAGGCCATCTCGTGTGCAAGTCACAAAGTGAAGTTTCGGCCTATCATACATAACCAAAGTAGAATTAAAAGTGACTTGTCAATGCTCTCTACTGTCATCGCTTCTGCGGTTCTTCCGTAAACGTCCACAGTCGACATTCTCAAGGCCAGAGCTGTTCCTTATGCCACTGCTCTCATTAATGAATAACATTATACGGAGGTAGAAACATTCATTTATAAAATTATTCGGCCACTACAGCTTAAATGTTGAAAATTTTTACAGAGCCGGCTGACCGCTATACCTGCCAATTACAGGCATTTACGCAGCCCCTACTAGCGCAGTACACACATAAACAAGGGGTGGAAAGGTTGAACCTTGAACCTTGATCACAGCACCGCCGATCGCATACAAATTATTAGGCAGCGGCAGACCGGCGGTGTTTTCTTCCATCGAATGGATAACCAACAGGGGATATAAGGAATACCCGTAGTAATCCCGACTGAAAAACGAAGTTGTCAAGGGGTGTCAGAGATACAAGAAATGGAGAGATTTTGAACACACGAGAAGTGATCACCATTCAGTGTAGTAGGTGCTCATGTTTTAAAAATATGTCCACTTATTCATTTTGCGGTCCCGTTGAAACTGACATCCCCTTGGTTGTGCCAATGGGTGGCCGAAATAGGCAATCCGTGTGCTTTATGCATTTAGTTCAACCGCCTGAATAGTTTTGAGGTGAGTTGCATCACGGCCTTAGGAGATGAGTTACGACAAAGACAGGTCTAATATGGTGGGCCAGCTCAACTCAACATGGCAGCTGGCCATGGAACAGGGTATTATAGGGGCCGCGTACTCCGAATAGCTGACGTGAGAACTTTTAGATGCTCGCTAGAAGTGCGCTTCTTAGACTCTAAGAAATGCCAACAGTTACTAGGTAGTTATACGGAGTAGAAGTGCCGAGGCTAAGCAATCCGATACTACTATAAAGACAAACCTGGCTGGGAATAAATTTCCGAGCTCAAATCCCTTTTTGGAAGGTTACACTGCTGACACGAAGCTTGGTTAGCAGGCATGTTTGTATTGTACTAGGTAGCATTTTAAGCATACTGCCAGATGCAGGGGCGCATTTCATACAATGGAGTGGAGTGCCAAACTTTTACAGATCTATGGTAGTGAATGGAATCATTTCTATATAAAAGAGCCTCGTAGGTAGCTACCAAACTTGACTATGAAAAGTACAACTGTCGTAGAGCTTGTCAATTACCATCTTCGGTTTCACTTTCAATATGCGGTCTACCAATTGCGTCGCTGCTGCTGTGGCCCTTTTCGGCTCTGCTCTGGCTGCTCCCACAACCAACCCAGCTTGCATCCCTCAGCATGATCCAAACCCTGAAGCTCGTGCCGCTGCTGTCTCTGTTCGTCGCGATGGCTTCATCTACGGCCCGTCCCTCACCGGCGAGGCTGCCCCCTTCCCTAATGGCACACTTGGCAATGCTCGTTCCAAAGCCGACTACGACGCATGGAGCCAGGACCGTGCCATCATCGATGGGCTGACTGCTCTCGACGTCCAGTCTCTCCAAGGAGCTATTCAAAACGTAACGGCCACACTTTCATCATACTGGAAGATGGAATCAAATACTAACTTCATATTGTAGAATGGCGGCCTCAACAGTTGGCAAGACTACGAAAAAATCCTCTACGATGGCCAGCTCAAAAATACAAACCCTCGAGGTACCGCTCCCGGTATCATTGCCAATGCGACCCAAGATCTGCTTTTCTCCATGGAACGCCTGAGCGAGCATCCCCATGCCGTCCGTCGCGTCATGGCCAACGAGCCTCTTCCTTTTCCACTAGACGATGCCATCACGAGTCAGATTGTCGGTTCTGGAAATACGCTTGAGTCTCTTCAGGCCAGCAACCGCCTTTTCATTGTCGACCACTCCTATCAGGCCAAGTACAGCCTTGCTACAGTCGTCCAGCGTTTCCCTGTCGCTTGCAGCGCGTACTTCTACATCGACCCAAAGTCTGGCGACTTTTTGCCTTTGGCCATTCGCACTAATGTTGACGCCGATCTGACTTACACTCCTCTCGACTCCGCCAATGACTGGTTACTGGCAAAGATGATGTTCAACGCCAATGACATGTTCCACGCGCAAATGCTGCACCTTGTGGTGTCGCACGACGTCACTGAATCTGTTCACCAAGCTGCTCTTCACGCTCTCAGTGAGAACCACCCCATCATGATTCTCCTTGAGCGCCTCATGGTGCAAGCCTACTCTTCTCGTATTGTTGGAGAAGAGCTCTGCTTCAACCCTGGCGGCCACTGGGATCAGCTCATGGTTTTCAGTCAGTTTGGCTGCCGTCAATTCGTTACTGACACCTGGCCCGTTGACGGTCGGTACCAGAGCGGATATCTGGAAAACAACTTGAAAGCCCGTGGTCTGATTGATGCTAATGGAAAGTCCGCCTTTAAATCTTTCCCCTTCTACGACGACGCCAAGCGCATCCGTGACAACTACCGCGTCTTCTTCACATCTTTTGTCAACTCGTACTACAAAAGCGAGAATGACCTCTCTGGCGACTTTGAGGTTCACAACTGGTTCAACGAGGCCAGCACATCGGCCAAGACTCAAGACTTTCCTCAGGAGAAGAATCTTAGCAAGAAAGTTCTCATCGATGTCCTCACCCACTTCGCCTATGCTACCTCAGTCTCGCACCACAGCGTCAACGGGGGCGCGCCAATCGCCTCCGGTACCCTGCCATTCCACATTCCTGCCATTTACACTGCTATCCCGAAGGAGAAGGGCGTCACAGACCTTATGCCGTATCTGCCGGACCCTGCCACCGCTATTCACTATCTCGGATTTATGGCTTCGTTTAATCGTCCATTCTATGGTAGCGACGGACGGACACTCAAGGATGCTTTTAACGCCAGTACTGTGCAACTTTTAAACCAGGACACAAAGAAGGCTTCTACAGTTTTGTTGGACAGTATGCAAAAGCTCAGCCAGCAGATCCGCAGCCGTGCGTTCGACAGCCAGGGTTTGAGTCAGAATATGCCCTTCATTTATAGGACTCTGGATCCTGCTTACATTCCCTTCTTCTGTGCCGTCTAGAGCAAAGGTGAATATTTTCCTTGGGTATATGCCAAGATTTATCCCTGGCTCTATGCTCACGCAAACGAAAACCTCCGAAAATAGAAGACCTACTGTGATCTAATGCGCAGCCTTACTTTGCTCTGCAGGAAATGACCAAGGTTAAAAGGCGGGCAGTTACTTTGGAACGGGTTCATGGAACGCTTCCGCTACAGTACGATGGAAACAGGTCTTTTTAGACATTAGAAGTGCTTTTGCGCACATGTCATGCGTTATACTTGCCTTACGCTTGGCCCCGTCTTAATATTAATAAAGATATAAATATAAAAATGAATACCTAAATAAACTACATATCATGCAAATTTTAATCTTTTGATGCCTATTATCGAATGCCAGGTGTTAAGATAGCATGACCGAAAGCACTGCCACCCTGGTTTGTAATCACAGAGAAAATACGAGGCAAAATCATATTGGCTACTCCGTATACTTGCTATGTATGAGAAGTACATAGATATCTCCACAAACCGTCTCCTCTAATACTATCTATGACCACACCTGATATTTTAAGTCATCAGATGCACTTGTAATACTCCGTGGAAGACTCTTATTTATCTTCGAGCTCAAACAACTCGATATGAGACGCATTTTCGTTCGATAATCTCGAATTTAATCATCTTCAAAGTCTTTTTCTGTCACTGGGCAACAGCCGTAGCTGCGATTATGTATCAGATATTTTTTGTCTCAAAATATTTTCTCTTCCAATGAATTCATATCCCAACTAAGAATTTGTCCTAGAGGCGAAGGATTTTGCTGCCAAAATGAACTGGTGGAGTCATTTGATTGATACTCACAGTAAATTCCTAGTTCATAAAGAGTTCCATGCTTGTAACAGACTTCTGTCCTATAGTTCCTTTGGATTATTACTCATTTATGACAACTCGAATATTTTTTCCTCTTTGGTAGCGCCAACGAGCAGACCGCTTTCAATCTCTATAAGCGCCCGTCGCTGTGCCACCTCCCCGTCCCAGTTCAACAAAAGCAAAAATGTTCTCCCTGTATCTTCATCATCTTCATCATCTACATTATCTTCATCGTCATATTCAGCCTCCAGCCGTCTCTTCTCAAAGGACTTCGCACTCCAGTCGTCCACCAGCAGGATTAGCGCCGGGAATGGTTTCTCATAGCCTTCCTTCAGTTCTGGAATCTCGGAGTCCACGTCAAAATCAAACGGTACGCTCCATAGACGCCGCGCTAGGTCAAACTTGCTCCCAATGTCTTGAGCAATAAACTGTCCGCCCTGAATTCGAAACAGGCGGAATTGCACAATGTGCCCAATTACCAGGAGGCGGTGCGTGGTCTGAGGTAGCACAAATGCGTCTGGATGGGACGCTATGAAATCAGATAGTGATAAATGCCGGCCGCCTTCATCGATTTGAAACCTTGCATAGTCTAGGACGCGCCGTGGGCCATCAACGCCAAGCTCTTTCTGCCTCCAGATGACTTTGCCGAGCGTTGATGCCCAGCACCATGTGGGAAAGCCGCCCTTTCTCCTTCTCTCAGACTCGGAAGACCGTTTTTGCCATGCCAGGCCGCCTGCAAACGCAGCATTGGGACTAAGATTTTGGTTTTCCATAGTATCAACGCTGCTATCGTCTATAGCGAGCGCGCTGGCTTTATTTTTCTCGGCAACCCACCAACTTCTTGTCGGAAGGGGGATTCCCCAGAAGGATCGCCACGGTTGACGGTTGAGGACGCCTCGGAAAGCGTTCAATACGTCTACCTCATAAGTCAAGTTACGTTTGCTGAACGCCTCCATATGTGCTTCGAACGTGTTTCCACTGCCAACCATTCGCGCTCTGTCAATTTCGTGGCGCTGAAAAAGATCTGCTTCTATTACCACCGAGGTATTTCTAATGGCCCGGTTATCTCTAAGTGGCACCATTGAATGTTTGACAGACTCAGAAGTGCCCATTGTCTTGCAGATGAAATAGATCTGCTGTTTCGTAAATACCAGGCAACGGCGAGAAAGAATTCCTTCTTGGTACGTCCATGCACGTGTCAGCCAAAGAGAGTCGGCAAGGACCGTCGATATAGGAACCATGCTTGATACAAGCAATGTGCCGTCTGATGACATGGACCATGGTTGATTCTCTCGTGGAACGGTTGAGACGCCCGGAAGGCCCTCAGAACTGCTTGAGCACGAAGCTGCAATAATGGTGACCGCTGAATTCTCATAGATGTCATCCATTTGTGCCACTTGACGCGATACATCAGCCGGATCTTGCTGGTCGATACAGTACTTATCAACCCACAGATAGTTTATGCCAACATTCAAAGTGAAGACGATGGCATCTGATATGAGCTTTGGGAAAGGGCCGGCGTCACCATTGAGCTGGCCAGAAGTCCCCCAAACGTAGCTGAGAGTAAGATAACTGTCCTTGCCATTCCATGGCACAACTTTGCTCGATCTGCAGTCAATAACCTTAATATTGTTCGCAAAGGGCCTGTCAGTCTGCTTTGTGCACTGTGTAGAGCCGCAGCACAATCAGTAAGCCAGGTTCGTATTAGGGTATAGTTGATTCCCTGCCGGACGAGTCGCCCGGAGAGTACTGAGGAGCCCTGATCATTTGGACTTTGAGATACGGGTAGGATAATCGGGCTTTCTTCGAATCTTGCTTTCGTGATGGCTATTGAATTATATTCTTGAATCTCTGGCCCTTCAACGATGGAGAGCACAACTCCACAAGGCTCCACCTCGTGACCTCCATGTCCGCTTTCAATACCAGGGAGTGCTCTTAGATGACATTGCTGAGACCCCAATTGCTTTTGTTGAACGGCAGCAAACAGTAGACACATGCTACAGGAGCTTTTCGATACATCTTGGGTAGCAGGTTTAAGTGAGGCAACAGAAACACCGTAAGCACTTTGCGGCGAAGTCCCGAGATCGAATATACTGCTAAACTCGATGCTCCGACATCGGGAGCAGAGATCTCCCACCTTAGTAGTAGGGCCTGTGTATTCAGTAAAGTTCAAGACAAATGAAGGCCCCGTGGGACTCGAGTTATAGGCCATCAGCGAGTGCAAATCAACAAACCCATAACGAGAGCTCCAGACTATGGGACCCTCCATTCTCTAAAAGCCTCGAAAGTGACTGCAGATGATTCTCTTTCATCAGCACAGCTTCGGTTTCAACATACAAACTGAACTTACTCTAAATTTGCGAGAGTTTATGGGAGCGTAGGGGCGACAGGAAGCACTTTGTTGCAATACGGCCGAGAGTTGATGCCTTTCGAAATTGCAAGTAGCGATTTAAGAGGCGATAGAAAGGAGATGAACTTGTTATTTTGTACAAACCATGGGAACGAGGTATTGATATATACGGCAAACGATCCTTCAGATCTCCAACCGCACTGGAATATATCGTGAAGCCTATGAAGTACAACACAAATGTCGTGATCGTTTTGGGAGGGCGGCCAAGAAAGAGCAAGAGTGAGGCAGTGCGCCAGGATTATCTCTGACATTCAGCAGAAAATACATGTAGTCCCGATTGTTTACCCCTCTCAAGGCGATTGGTCAGTTGGCAATGCAACATACATGTACTTGTTCATTTACCGAAGTGCTAGATAATTGGGTAAACCACCTGCATGTAGGTTAATAGGCGTTTTTTAGGGATGGGGTTCATCGCTACCTACATGTAGGTAGGGATATTCAGCCTACATATGTAGCCTGTAGACTATGGGAGTGGCTTAGCAAAAGTCAGCTAAAGACTAGCAACACGTTATGCCTCCTTTAACAAGAAAAAAAGAGGAAACAGAAAAAAAGAAGAAGAAAAGAGGAATTCTCTCTCCCCCTTGTAAACTACCCGTAGCTATGTCTACAGGTGATGAGGCGGTCACGGAGCGTGGCAACAATACATTCCCAAGTTGGGCTGGGACTGTCCGCTGAGGGTACCTTACTTCATGTCACAACTGCCTTTCGGTTCCAAGAAACCAAGAAGCTGCATCTCACAAAAAACACTGAACGTTCGGTAAACTCACTAATTGATCAAAATTCATTGGATTCTAAACCGCCGGCAAACGCCAGTAATTTGGCGCTCCGATAGAAGAGCAGGCTATCCGAACCCCAAGTCGACAATGGCCACAGTCAAACCAATACATGCCTATCTACCTTTCTAGGGGTCGAAAATGACTTAATTGTAAGAACGAGCTGAGGTATTTTCAGGATTTGTATAGTTCCACTTGTAGGATGTAAATTGAAACGGTATCAAGAGCCTATTAGAGCCCGCACGGTCACAGGTCTGAGTCTGACATCGCGATTGGGCTTACATTAGGCTCCGAGGTTACATTAGCTGGCCTGCAGATTGGCTCAGCGATGCTTGTCTTGGGAACTTGTTGATATAATCAGAGTCAGCGCAATCCATAGCTGGGCCTGGAGAGAAGTTTTTCTGCGTGAACATCATTGCTATCTTCTGAGTGCAGTAGCGCCAACCGCGGGATCTTGCTTTTAGCTTAGGTTTACGATTTAGGACCGGTATTGACCTAGACTGATGTAAATGTGTAGATTAAGTATTTTACTCACATCGGCTTGGATGCGCGTCGCATACAATGTTAGCTATAGCTGGGATCAACTATTGTGTACGTCTCGCGCTGCCGGTTCGGTTGCTTCAGAAAGCGGAACCATGTAGCTCCAAATTACAAAAGTCCAAAAATGCCAGGCCGTGCATCTCGATTAAGAACTTGACGGGACCCCGAATTTTTCACTACATGTACCTATGGTCGTATGTGCTTGATCTTAGGGGCAATGGGCTTTTAAGCTGGCAGAGTTGGTAAAAATGGTAAAAAGAAATAAGAACATATAACAGCTGGTGTTTGCTAATGGTTACCCATTTCGCTATTTCTATCATTTAATCCTCATGGCTCATAATATTGCAGCCTAGCACCTTTTGCACACCTATCCGAGCGATAGGCCATTTGTTTTCATGCGTCTCAGGGCTTTCGACTTCTGTTATCTAATATATCTGATCATAGCTACTTAGATTCCATATATATTCCCAGTGTTTTTCCACAGGATATTGTAGGCATCAGTGGCTCTTAACCACAGCGAGGATAAAGCCAGTAAATACCGGTGTAGGTATCATCGAATGGCAAGCCACTGTCGGCATCAGCGTGGCCTGAACTCGCTCATCTCTGCCAATCTGTGTCAAGATAGTCTCTCCCCCTTCCTCCTGTCCATTCTTAATCATTGATGGAATCACATCATCGAGAAAGACACATCCACCTGGACGCGTCAACTTGACCGCCCAGTCGAAGTGCTCCCACTGATCTTCAAAGTCCGCGTCGATAAATACCATGTCAAACTGCCTCCCTTCCTCCGCAAGTTTCGGCAATACATCCAGCGCTGATCCAAGCAGAATCTCCGCATCGAGGCCTTTGACATTCTCCAACGCCGTGTCCCGGTGTTTTGGGTCGATTTCGATACTGGTCACCTTGGCTCCTGCTTCCGCAAAACATATGGTTGAATAGCCCCCCAGCGTGCCAATTTCGAGAACTGACTTGACTTTCATGAGCTGAGCGAGAATGGATAGATGTTGACCAGCCATGGGGAGAACACTGATGGGTGGAAGGCCTTTGGCTGCCGAGTTGGTCAAGCATTGTTCAAGCTTGGGATTGGGACGGAGTAAAGCGGATTGAGCTTGTACGTCGAAGTTTGAGGCGAAGCGAAAATTATCATAGTTGAAGACAGCTTTAATTTCTGGTGTTATGAAAGCCATATTGAAGTGGTGTATTGGTAAGAGCTGAAACTTTGCAAAGTGTCCGATGAGGATAATGAACCTTGAACAAGATCAAGCAACGCTTCCAGCATATATATACTTATTTCGGAGTTCTTGAAATGCCGATAGGCCGCGTAGAGTATATACGACATCCCTCACATCTCGGAAGGAGTCGCATATGTTAGGTGGCGAAGTATGGTAGGATGAGCCCGACATGTTCTAGGAGATGTGTTCATCGGCTTCTAAGACAGATTGGACTAAACGAGGCGGGCTCGTTCAACTCTCTGGATCAGCGAACCCACCAACACGAGCAACTCAACAATGCTACGTGCATAATTTCCTATTTGACAAATCAAGGACTGACGGCTTCAATGTCCGAGTTCCCTATTCGGAGTATTACCATAAGGAGCATCAAGATGGCCCCGCATTTGCCGAAATCTCGGGGTTCCGCATCGCTAGATCCGGCTCGTTTAGTCTTGTATGGTTTAGTCTCCGAGATATCAACGCCCCGTCTTGTATAGTCCGATCCAGACAAACCCGATCACCGATTTCGCAACCACACGACAACTCCCCTACATCCCACAAAGGTCGTGTACCCTCCCGCGATTATGGAACCGGCACAAACGTCTGGCTCATCCTCCCATGAGGCAAAGAGGACCGCTCCATCGCTACTTGACTGCACCAATGTCTTCATTGTCACACCCGGTTCAGAACAGGCGTTATGCAAGATCCCAACCAACTTGGTAGTAGATCCATTCAGGCAGAAAAGACTGCATCGCAAATCCAAGCGCGGATGTGACCAGTGCAGGAAACGTCGAGTAAAGGTTGGTCATTGTCTAACGGGCGCCACATTACGTTGACCCCGGTCTCCAAATGCTGCTAACCTGCGTCGTTCATATACACAAGTGTGATGAGAAAGTTCCAAGATGCTCGGCATGCACCCGCCGACAAGAGCCTTGTAGCTGTCGGGCGTCTGGTAGCCGCAGGCGAGAGGTTGAAAAATCGCAAGAGATCCTTGCTGTTGACCAAGTGCCCCGGAGCGTCTCACAACAGCACAAGTTGGTATCGGATGAAGTAGTCAACTTGCTACACATGAAGCTCTTTCACAATTTTCAACATCAAACGATCCCTACCCTGCTCTTTGACTCGGGTGCCTGGGAAAATGCCATGCAGCAATCTTTCAGCTTCCCCTCTCTAATGCATGCCATACTTTGTGCGTCAGCGAGGCAACTGTCGTTTCTCTTTCCCGACGAGCACAAGTATGCTACGGCAGCGACTACTCATTTGATAAAGACACTCTGCCTCTTCCGGGACGACCTTTCTAGTAAACTCACCCCGTCCAACGTCGATGCATTCATGGTCACAACAGCGCTGCTGCACATGGAGATGTGGTCCAATGACGAATTTGTGGTGTTTGGGCCTGACGGGGCTATGTCATATGATCCTCTTCAAGACCGTCTTTTCCAACATAGCCTGGGTGTCTTACACGTATTCTTGAGTTGCACTCCCCTCTCCTTGCAGGGGTCGTCACCATTGATGCCGCACATTAAGCACAGCTCTCGGAGTGTCCTGGTCAATGCTGCAAAGCTGAGTAGAAAGTCACTGGAGAACTTCAGGTGGTTTTTCTCATATGAACGGCCTCTCAGTCTATCCCTCCTTTCCGTGCCTCTCCCCTATGTTCGCGATTTCGACCTTGCCCCAGAAGATTTCTGGACCGTTGAGATACCAAAGCTAGCGGAAATAGGCCCCTCTAAGTCTAAAGAGGCAGGCTATTCTTTGAAAGGGTATTATGGGATTGTGGATCGCCTTTGCCTCATATTATCCTTTCTTCCTGAGGCACAAGATGAGGGAAACGAGGGCCTAAGCCCCGAGTTGACAGCAAACCTCTCTCGATATCTCATCATATTCCCTGTTCTGTGCGACCAACAGTTCGTCTCGATGGTGAGACATGGGGACCCTCATGCAATGGTCTTGTTGTATCACTTTTATCGCGCCGTAAGGATCCTTGTTCCTTCAACAGAGCATTGGTGGGCACAAAGAAGGGCTAGCTTGGCAGAGACGGCGATACAGCAATGGCTGTTCCGAGAGTGTGCCAGAAACGGGATATCAGTTTGAGACAAAATTGCTTGGATCTCACATGAAATATCTTTTTAACTCTTTCGTCTCGTTCAATTTACTCCTATAATAAACAAGCTCTCTATAAATTCTGATAATAATGCGCATCGTGAACTACGTCTTCAAAACCTGGAGAGCTAGATTACGATACCATAGACATTTTGTTACTCATGGCTTCACACGTGGTGCTCCTGGCTCACTGCCCTCCGGCACAGGCACCAAAGCCGACCTTGTATAAATATGCCTGGCACCCTCCAGATTAAAACCTTCGACGCAGCCACCTTTGACCGCAAGTGAAGGCCTAGGCGTACCATCTTTAAAGACAACCCGATGCAGGATACGGACGCCACACACCTTGCAGAAATAGCACTCTACTGTGTTGCCGGAATCTGCTCGCCTAGCCCACATGCCAATATGTTGTTGTAAATGTTTGGGGAATGGCCACATGCCCTCAGATGGAAAGATGGCAGAGGTACCAAATGCGGAAGCCGATTGTTTCTGGCATTCTGTGCAGTGGCATACATATTTGCTGAGAGGCTCAGCGCGCGAGGCTGTGAGGGAAATGGTCCCGCATTGGCAAGTTATCTTTGGATTTTCGCCTAACTTTGGGGGCATATTGGGGTGGTGGCGATTAGATATTGATGAGGTCGGATGGGTTGCGCCCCCGAAGTGACTCGTGAGATTTGGCCGCAGTAAGCGGGTTGATGGCCGCAGTGCAGTCCGCTGCCGAATGGCAAGTAGTGAATATGCTTTTGAGGAGTTCATTGAGGGTAAAAGAATCAAGACTGGTTGGATTCAAGATGCCAGATTCAGATCGAAAATAAATTCTTTGGGTTGAGGCCTACCTAGTCATAACTTTGGTGATGTAACTAATAAACGCCGACGGACTATTCAATAAAGTAGGCACCGTTGGAATAACGTTGTTCCTTTGAGACGAAGATCCTTGAATTCAACGGTGGTGAGAATCTTAGCGCCGGGTTGGTTAACCACTAAAAAGGGCATCATGTAACTCCAAATTTGGAGTCTTGGGATGCAAATAAATGGAAAACATCGCACTCAAGAGTAGACTTTGACGTGGCCCCGAATTCTCCACCATCCATGGCCGTACGTGCCTGAATATGTAGCAAATATCATTGTAATGGTATTGTATTCAGATGCGTTAAAAGCGTCAACTCGTATTCGCCAGTCATCACCCTGCCGGTTGCCGGCTTGGTTACAGGGGAGCAGACAAGAAAGACGCGCCAGTTATGGAATCTCATAACCTCGTGTTAAAGGTCATGGTTGGATTCTCAAATTTGTCTTTCAAGATGAAATCGGCCTTCAGGCGTTGATATAAAGCTAATGAGTGAAACTACCTATATGTCGATCTCTCTCTCAAGGATCTCACCCCTGCTCAACTCTGTTATTGGTCATTGTTGCATTGAGTAATATGGATATTTTGATTTACTAGTCAATCATCGACATATGATGAACCAACGTAAAGATCAACAATCTGATAAACTACCATTAAGATTAACGACATGTCAGGCCAGTAACACGAGATTTTCCGTCGCAATTTGGTGAAGCTGGACAAGAGAAAGTTGCATAATACCATAAATCCCGAATTGACCGAGACTTAATCAGCGACAAAACGTTATCTATAAGCTTCAAGCTCTAGCTGCACGGCACTAAGTTGAAAGTTCCCGTCGAAATATCCCCGTGAGCTGGTGCGTTGCCGTGGACCAGCCAGCACTCTCGGTAGTTGGTTCTAATACAGATTCCGATTGTAAGTCGTAAAGGCCAGTCCATACCTAATGTAGTAGAGATTTATCACACGAGTTGATATGCTGATTCTAGATCTACAGATTCTGATAGGAATTCGTTTAAAAGTGAAGCTATACCTATTCTAGTCGAGATTTATAATTTATAACACGAGTTTACTTCGTATACAACTTGTCCCCACTAAGGATAAGGTAAAAGAAACCCCTGTTTATGATGCAGCACGCTATGATGCCTGCAATAGGTATAGGTGTTAAAAAGAGAGCAGTTCTAACAATATCATTGGGTCATTAACGAGCTGGCCGGTCTAGACAAGGCCATTTTGCTGCAGTCAGCACAAGGGTTGACAACCAAACAACGTAGACAAGGAAAGAAATACGAAGTTTACAGAGACAACAGACGACTCAAGAATATAGAAAGTGACCAGTCTTATACTCTGCTATAGATTCTTCGTATACTATCTGGTATAGTCTTGCCTTGCAGGCTTTTCCAAGGAAGTTTTTATTTATCAGGCTTTGTAATGTCGCCACTCAGGTTCACCAATGGCGTTACGTTGTTAGTCTGTTGAAGTCGGATTGGTTACGATACGAAGCAAGCAACTTTAAATTGTAGAGACATCAGTCGGTGTAAGATATACTGAGGAGGTTATAAATATATAAAGTTCCTCTTGAAGCCTGTTTAATTCAGGTCTCTACCCAAGCAAAACTGGTGTAAATAACACTCAATGATCCATTATCATCTCAATTTCTATAACCTCTTATAACTTTTTAATCTCAGTTTATCAACTTCATCTGCAGCATTCAAGATGAAGCTCGGTGCTTTAACTACAAACCTGCTTCTGGTGGCTACCGCCTCCTCGGCCTTCCCTCTGTCTGCTCGCAAGCAGGCGGCTATGGATGCTTTCCGTGCAAGGAGATCTTTACGTCGCTCCATTGCATCTGGACCCGGCGTCAATAACACCGGCGGGGCTGTGGATGCAACCTCTTCTAACTGGGCGGGCGTCGCCATCTCACAGCCAGGCGTCACCGAGGTTTCCGGCACCTTTACAGTACCACAACCCAGAATGCCACCTGGTGCTGATCCCAATCTTGCCCATTGTGGTGTTGCGTGGGTGGGAATTGATGGGTGGACGAACGGCGATCTCATCCAAACTGGTGTTCTCTGGTGTACCTATATCGACAACTCAACCTTCTGGTACCCTTGGTATGAGTATCTCCCTGGCCCCATCACCGAAATCGATGGGGTGAATGTGACTGCTGGATCAGTTGTTTATGTTAATGCCAAGAAGACTGGCACTAATAGTGGAATCACGACATTGACGGTCGATGGTGTAACTGCAACCCATGAGTTTACCGGGGAAGAATATAGCTTGCCCGGCACAAGTGCTGAGTGGATTGTCGAAGACTACGAAATTTGGTTCGGAGACCCCCCTTATGCTCCATTTGCAGACTTTGGAACTGTTACGTTTACTGGAGCAACCGCCGTTGTCAACGGAGCCACTATTACACCGGGCGAGGGCGAGTGGCTTATCGTTGACCTAGACCAGGGTAACGGATCCATCACATCATCAAGTTTCTCTGGCAGCACGGTGACTGTCAGTTATATTTCAGATTTCGGAGCAAATTGAGTCTCGGAAATATCGCATACTTGTTTCGGAGAGAATTATGAAGGGCATTAGTTCTGGACATGCTTTTTTGGAATACAGGTATCAATACAAAGGTGCAAAAATCCTATATGAAGAAATCCTTGATACTTGATGGCGTTTGCAAATAATAAGCTGCTCGACTGCATACGAGTATCGGCTTTGTAAACCGGAGGCCTCCCTGTTACTGTACCGCATTCCTCGGAAAGCTCCAACAGCAAAGACATCGTTTCATAATATAGCAAAGCCCTTTAATATACTCACTGGCGTACTCAATATGACTAGATTTTAAGGAATCTCCTATATCACATGGTCGCATATATCTGAGACTACATATAGGTAGCCACAGTCTGTTCAAGTTGCCATCAAACCGTGTGCATAGGCCTCCTGTGTGAATGAATTTGTTAGTCCGATGCTTTCAGTAGTGTATAGTTGAAAACCCCTTCTGCTGGGTTGCCATTGACTTACTACGTAACATTCTTGCCAAGGACCGCACGCAATATGCTTCCGGCCTTCTTATAATCTCGAAAATGTTCTATACCCGGATGTATCTGTCCGATACAAAACCTAGAATCAATACATTTCCTGAAGAGCATCCAATGGCAAGTTTCTGCGTAGCTACTGCCGACCTCACAGGACGATATTCTGGTGGCAGCCAAAGGAATCTCTGGCCATTGTGGTCGACCCAACATCTGTCCTCGCTAAGAGCCCACCCGGCGTCTTTGGAGTCGTTCCAATACTCAAGATTTCCACTAGGATTTGAGCGCTGAGGCAAGTCATCCAGAAAAGCGATGGTCCTGTCAGTGATGATTGCTGATTCGTTTTTAAACGACAAGTGAGATGTCACTTCCATTTCGTACGTATTCAACAGCGCACCCGTTGTCACATCCCAGTGCCATAGCATACCATTGTGGGAATTCGACAGCAATTTTTTGTTGTCAGGCGAGAACGCTACTGACAAGAGCCGATCTGTGTTGCCTTGAAGAGTCCAGAGTAACGCGCCGGAAGCTACATCCCAGACCAGCGCTACACTGTCATCGGATGCTGACGCGAGTTTTCGGCCATCAGATGAGAAGATAACCGAGTTCACCTTACCAGTGTGCCCTTTGAGTATATCTCGCACTGCACCTGTGCGTCTATCCCAGAGCAGAATGGTACCCTCATATAGGGCTGAAGCCAATAGTCGACCATTCGGAGAGAATGCCACTGAATCAACATGGCAAGTATTGCTCTTTATGGCTTTCAAAAGTAACTCCGAGAGCCCATCCCATGTCTGAAATATATCAGTGATTACATCCGAGGGACGCGGCGTCTTGCCTATACCCCGTAGCCATCTCGTAGGACCCCTTGAACGTGGCACCAATTGTGTATCATCTCTTCTCGCTACCGAGTTGCTGTGTCTTGTGCTGCCGTATTTTATGCTGCTGTCAAGGGTCATCAGTTGTTCAGCTGTTCTGGTATCCCAAAGCCATACTGTGCCATCGCTAAATCCTGCCGCAAGCACTTTGCTATCAGAAGAGAAGGCTACTGAGCAGACTCGGCTCCTCAGACCTTTGAGCTCGTACTGCACCCTGCCCGTGCTAGTATCCCAGAGAAGCAAGGTTTTGCTGTACGATGCTGATACCAACTGTTGATAGTCTGGTGAAAACGCCATCAGAGTGACTCGGCTTCTTTGAACAAGAGCCTGCTCTGGCACTGTCGCATGTACATCCCAGAGCCGAAGCATGCCGTCGTATGAGGCGGATGCTAGTTTTTGACCAATAGAGGAGAATGCCACTGAATTCACTTGGTTCGTATTTCCTTTCAAGGACCGTATAAACATGCTCGTGGTTGGATCCCATAGCCGCACCATGCCGTCGCCGCATCCTGCCGCCAGCGTTTTGCAATCAGGTGAGAAGGCTGCCGACCACACTCGACCAAAATCGCCGTTGATAGTTTTGTGTTTCTCAAGGTCCCGTTCAGAAAGCCTCCGAAGATCATAAATGTATACCGAATCTCGCTTCCCAGATGGTGCTGCGGCGTCATATGTTGTAAGTGCCAGTTGTTCGCCATCCGGCGAGAAGATTGTTGACCAGACACGACAATTGCTACCTTTAAAGCTTCGTAACAGTATCCCATTTGGAACATCCCAAATATTTACGAGTATTCTTCCACTCTCCTCCAATACTGTCGCTGCTTGTCTTCCGTTAGGCGCAAAGGCTATTACGGTAACGTTCGCTGTCTCAACGAAGGCCGATAATAACACACCCGTTCTCACGTCCCAAGACCATATCAAGCCACCCGCAGATGCTGATGTTACATGTCGATGGTCGGATGAGAATACTACTGAGAGAACCGGACTGTCGTGCTTTTTAACATTCCAGACCATCGCGCCAGTATCAACATCCCAAAGGCATACTCTGCCATTGTGAGAGCCTGATGCCAACCTTTCACCATTTGGAGAGAATGCTATTGATAAGACTTTGCTTGAATGTGCTGTAAGAGACTTCAGTAATGCACCAGTATTTGCATCCCAAAGAAGCACCGCAAAGTCATCGGATGCAGATGCCAGTTGTTGACAATCGGGAGAGAAAGATACCGCATTGATCGAACTGGTGTGACCTTCAAGGATCTGCAGGAGCGCGCTCCACTGGCTCTCGGTTGCTGGAGTTGTCGTTATCCATGGAGGTTGTTCATGCCGAAAGTTGTGTCGTATTAAACATTGCGTTGGGCTGTATATTAGCGCCGAGGAATATGTCTGAAGAGGATGTCTTTCAATGATGGGTCGAAAGTAGAGAATAAAACGGCTGGCATCGTGAGCGAGTGCAAAGCATTGCGGACTTATATCGGATCGTGTCTAGGAGGGTTAAGATTTCAATGCTTGTAATGTGACTGAAGTTTGACGTAGGCACTTACGGAAAGAAGCTGTTCCAATTTCGCTACCGCTAAGACGCCGCTTGATATGCTTCTTCTGAGGCTGAGAGCTTCTAGCCAGTATAGAAACTTTTCTCCCAAAAACGCATGTACTATGCCGTAATCTTGTAGGTCACCGAATACTCTGGCGTCGCCATGTTCTTCTTTCCTTGTTTTCTCTGCCTCTTCTAGATGATCCACCCAATAGACACACGAATAGTAAACGCCATCTAATGGGCGTTCGCTATGATCTTGGACCTTCTCAATGGAAACTGCGGGGTTGAACAAGCTGTATACATCTCGTCTGAGTACTTGAGACATAGCTTGAAGAGATCTCGAGAAGATAGCATGATGCGTGTAACTGATCCCGAGAGGAAAGATATCTCGAGATGCGTCTCCTGTTAGGAACTCCTTGGCCGACTGATGTATTATATAGACAATGCCGTTCAAAATGGAGAGAAAGGATCCACAGAGTTTGGCAACTTCCGCGATGGACTGAGGTTTGTCTGAAATACTATCCTGGATGCCGGCCAAAAGACCTAGTTCATCGAGTCGAAGTGGTCGATATGCCACAACAGCGGTGGAAAGCAGGAGCCAGCATTGTTCTGCTATTCGTCGCCTATATTTCTGGATTTGCCTGATCATTCTTCTGTATAGTTCCTTTAGACTCTTCGGCAATTCCTTCACAATATGTTGTACCTCCCAGCTCGAAGCCCCATCAAGCTCCCCAATAACAAGCGAAACCCACAAAAAGGTGCCGTGAGCCTTTTGTCTCATTGCATCTCTAACTTCTGCTTGAAGGTCCTCATTATCGGCAATTGATGATAAATTAGCAACCCGCAATTTAATATACTCATCAACGGACCGGGATACGTGTTCCGCGTTCTCCTCGAGACTCAACATAACCAAGTGTCGGTTAGACCTTATTCTCCGCTCAATTTGAGGCTGGTTGCGGCTAGAGATGATCCACTTGACGCGAGATGAAGATGAGGCCTGGATGAAGTTTAAGAGTTTGGGCAAATCGCCCGGAGCACATTCGTCCAGCGCGTCAATGATCAAATACGTATCCTTCGACTGTAAGTCTTGTAAAATCTCCGTCAATATTCCAGAAACGGCAAACCAGGCGTTTGTATCTTCAAAGAGTGCTTTTCCGGCGTGGTCATGCTTCTTTTGTATTCGCTCGATGAGAGATGGTTGCTTGTCAGCAAGGAGGTAGATGAGCCCTCGAAACAAAGATGTAGCGTCATTACTACGTGCATCGGCTGCCTCGCAGAAGAAGTAAGACACTAGCACACCAGACTGTTGATTCATAGATGGCTCTAAGGCTGTCAATTCGTCGATGATTCCACAGAGCAGCATCGTCTTGCCCTTGCCAGGATCACCTTTAATCCACAACACCTGGGTGTTTTCAGTGCGTCGCCATCGTTGGTAGGCGGCATTCTCGAGCACCCATTGGTATGAGCCTCGCAAAAGATACCCTTTGCTCTGCTCGATGCGAGCCTTGTCGTCGCGGGGATCTGTGGAGCGCAGGTCCACGAGGCATTGGTGTTTGTTGGTACTACCTGAGTACGAAGTTCTTCAAATCAGCCGAATATCATTGCAGTAGGCAGCGGCATATTGATACCAGCTGTAAAAAGTTGCCCTTACCTGGATTGTAATGAAAATTCACAGATGCATTGAAGCCAACAGCGGATATTTGGCTGCCGGTATTGTTGTTCTGGATACTCCCAGAGCCGTCAAGTTGGAACCTAGAGCTGTCACCTTGGCGAATCCGAATATTGTCTCCAAAGACGTTGTCCGAGATATTCATTCTCTTATGTGCTCGCTCTCGGTCTGTCATGGTCGTAATTCAGGGAAGATGCCGTCAAATGCATGACATCTTATAAATCATCGACATAGCGGGATAAACACGAAGGATGAACAACCTGCATCGCTTCTGCCTACAGCCTTGCGACCTTGCGGGGTAATAGAATGATATACGGTAGCACCATCGACCAGTAAAATTTCAGGGAGGATTCAGGTGTGACATTCTTAGCTGAGATTGCAAGAGAGTACAAATGGAACACTTTTTCATATTGGCAAATGAATTGACGATTATCGCAGTAATCATCATTGTTTCCCGGATTTTGAACCACCTACACCTGCTTGTACGTTTTTCACAATAGATGAGCTACGAGAGAAGCATGTCGGAAGAAGCGAAGAGAGTGGGGGGGATCTAAATTGACGCTTTACAGAGGCATTGGCAGAAATGACTATGATCATTTTAACTACTTATAGGTCGTCAGTCCGATACGATCGAGGAGTTTCCCTACACACACCCTCGATCTCGTATTGGTTCAGCCTGAAGTGATGCGGGGAAATGGGTAGCCAAAGTCCGTTTCGAATCGAAATTATTGTAACGGTATTCTTAGTTCCAATTACATGTAGTTTGGCGCATTATTGCAAGCTTAAACGCCTCTAAAAGCAGAGAGTAAACAGGTACAGGTACACAAACGGTTGGGTTACTATCATATACCCATGCTAATTGTAATTGCCCGAATCTTTTTTCTCGATGTCATGTAAATGTGTAGACAGAAACTCCTAAGCATAATGTGTGGACATACTTATAAACAGCTAGAGAATACACCTTTGAAGTACCTCAACTAATACCAAATACAACATCAGAAGCCTAATCCGGTTGATCGCTACAAGGGCAGAAAGAGAGCAAGTCAAGGAACTATTTGATCTACCAGCTGTCGCTGCGTTTTGCCAAGAACGCAGCAGCGCGAGTCATTTCGACGAGACAACTTCCCCTTCTTGACTAGTCGAAGGACATTGTTACATGTCTGGTCCTTTATAACACTGGTCCCCTACAAATAGCCGATCATACCATAGTAATTGCTACGATTATGATAACTGGCCTAATCTTTCGCCTTCTTGGCTTTGCGGTATGACGTATTATAACAGTTGTGCGAAAATGAAGATAAATAATTTGATATAGTAAATCGTTGTGATTAAGAATCGACCCGCCCGTATGTATATGTTCTAGTAGCGCTATTCTAATGAATGCCCAAGATAAAAACCAAGAACCAAAGACCAAGAACCCAAACCCCAAAACCAAACCCCTTCTAAAATCCCGTCTTCGCCTTAAGCTTAGACCTTGATGCAGCTGATAGTGAAACCAGTCTCCCAGTCCAAAGGCGTCTGAGAGAACTTCTGGAAGTCTCGCTCTGGGTCAGCAATGCTGGCAACTACTTTGGCGAAATCCTTCAATACGACACAGTCCACATTGGCGAAATCAGAAGTGAACTGCAGGCTGGTGACGAGGAGAGTGCCATCCTTGGCGAGATTGGTGTTGGCGTAAGCCTGTCCAAGGCTCACTTCAGATCCATCAAGGGGGATGAAGGCGTTGCCGTTTGCTCCAGAAGCATCGTTGGCAAACTGAACTTGAACAGTGCCTCCGGATCGAGGTGCCGGAGCTGCAGAGACAGCAAGGGCGAGAGTAGAGAGAGTGAAGGCAATAGCGGAACGCATTTTGATGAATGTATGAGTTATTGGTTGAAATGTGGGTTGAAAGATGTGATTGAAAAGATGTTGTTATTTGTAGTGATGATGATGTTGTTGTTGTGATTGTTGTAGTGATGTTGTTGTGAGTGATGTAGAAGAACCGCTGAAGAGCAGGATGTAGAGCTGTTTATATAGATGATTTCCTCGCTTTTGACAACACATTTTGAGTATATGCTATATATAATTTGACATGTACAGAATAAGCGGATAGCGGTGTTCCGTGTACGAAGTAAGTTGAAAAAGATTGAAGCCTTCCGCACAAAGCCACAGCTAGCTTGAGGCTAAAGCTGCAAGAGCTGCCAGACAATAATATGCCAATGCGCTTATAAACTGGATAAGCGCATTTGCTATATTTACTGAAGCGTGTATTACTGTTTAGGTAACCAGAGTAAGTAAGGTCCGAGTATAAGCCACCTTGCTAAGCCGTTGCTTATGCTGAGGCAGAGTGCATGTCATGTGCGCTATGTGCTCCTTAGTGTACGCCACAGCTGATATAACACGAGAAAACAGCGAGCCAAAATAAACGAACAACTCCGCAAGAAATAAGCTGTTGGACGCTTTGATGGAAGTGGAATAGCACGCGATTGAACACATGGCATCTCACGAGAAATTGCTTAGCAAACACCATTTATATCAGCAGGCTAAAAATAGGACATAGAAGCTTAAACTAAGAGCTGGGCAAGTTCATCTGGAAATCGAACAGCGCCTCAGCCAAGCTTACATTGCTTAACTAGATCACTTTGCTTCCTCTGCAGACTTCTAAGCAAAAGGGTTACCTTTATCCTTCATCACAAACAGCTCAGACTTGTAAATTCCTTCGGGGACCATGTGTGGCCCCATTTCAAGTGAATCATCCGAATGTGCCGTTCTCAAAATTGTAAGGCATAAACTTGGGCAGACACGCATCGTCATCTCGTGGCTCCGCATACTGTACAGGCTGTAAGACTTGTGCCAAGAGCTGACAAGCCATTTTGCGCATCGACATGTCTGGGCGCCACTCTATCGCCCTAGTAGTAACCGAAGCTGCAGATGAAGTGGAATGCTATGCTAATACCGAGAGCTGATCGCGCCATTGTACATGAGTCAGTGATTCTCGGGGAGTTTGATTACTGAAAGAGGGAGAAAGCACTGAAATAGATGCGGGAGCGCAGGATTGCGGACTTTGGAGGGGAGATCGAACGACGGTAAAGAACATGTAATTGTGCGGGATCCTGGAATTTCCCAAAACCAATGTTCGTATATGATGACAAGATTACAAGGTGTATACCGAGGCACTACGCCAAAATTTAACCAGGATCCGCAGGATCAGCCTCGTATAATATCCTTTTTTAAATTGACTCTCCCTGTCGTGAATATAGAAGAAATGACAAGATACAATAATCAATTGTGAATATATTTGCGTTCAATACGAAAGACGTCAGAAAGAGTAGAAGCCACATGGAGAACATTTTGGTATTTTCACTGTAGTTATACCAAGACATATCTTTTCTCAAGGCAGTGGAGGCTTATCTTGATATATCTCTGTATTTCGAACAATCCCCGATAGAATCTTTCTCATAACCGAATTCATGAGGACGTTATGGTGCTCTGTACTATCCATCCCTGTTATATCAATCACGTTGTTTATACAGCGAGACGGAGATGAAGAATAAAATACCGTAGCACTCGCCAACCCATTCATTCGATCTCCTGGATCTTTTGAAAATAATAGTCCCATCCTATCCATTCATCATCCTCATACGGTTCTCTCTCAGGCTGAGGACCCCAAACAACACCCACATCTTCCGCAGCTGCTTTGCTCGCTTCACCAGCTCGAGAAAGCTCAGAGTGGACTTCACTCATTCTCCGGACCCAATAGCCGTTCCAGAAAGTAATCATACTGTCAGGTCCATCCGTAGCCGCATCAAAAGTCCCAGAGGCGTGTGTTTCAAACTCCTCTATTAATGACTCCAAGAGTTCCAACAGCCCTGCATACTCATCCTGTATTTCTGCAATCTCCTCTGCATCCAATCTTTGCGGCCCCCAAAGCCCCTTCTTGCACCTACATGTATGCGCAATGCCCAGCGCATTGAAGGTAGTAAACCGTATCGCGGCATAGTATTGTTCCCTTCGCAATGTGTTGCCGTACTCTTTTAGATATGTAGTAAAGGATGTAGCAATATCAATCTCGCCATCAACCAGTATCATATGCTTCAGCCTCACCACAAAAGGCGTGCAGCCTCGGAGAGAACATCGACAAATGCAATTATCAACCGAATCGTCCATCAGCATCCGTTCTTCAAGCTCACGTACCAGTTCTTCATCACCTTTACATGCGCATCTGTTGCGTGGCCCTTCATCACCTAAAATTGCCAGGATGAAAGCATCTGCAATATAGCCAGTCCAGGGAGGCGACCAATGCTGTATCCATTCACAAATGGGAGCATCATGATCCAGCAACCATTTCACAAATGGTAAACTTATACTGTGATCCGACCAATCCATAGTCGGCTTCCATCTCTTGATCAGGACTTGAAAATTTGTAATATCATAGAACCCTAAATTAAAATAGATATTCGCATCTTCGGCAGTGGATAGTTCGTGATAGATAGATCTGTTGTGTTGGTTGGGAGAGTTTTTGACTGTGTCATCTTCCACATATGTAGCCAAAGGTCCAAATCCAATATACCCTCTCTCCCGAAGAATGTAATCAATTTGCATAGCGTATATATCAAGTACAACCGGCCTGTGCAAGCTGAAGCTGTCGGTTTCTATGGGCGAAAGGGACTGTTGCGCGATTAACTTCAACTTTTGCCGACGTTGTAATAGCGATTTGGCTAGTTGGATTTTGCAATGTTTCGAGGCATAGGCAATTACTGTTTTGTCATTGCCACTCCTAAAGTCTCGATATGGTATAATCGGACAACCTCCCTCCAATAAAATCCTCAGAGGGAGTGTGCATCGACATGAGGTCTCATCCTGGTTCTCTCGTTGGCCGCAAAGGGTTTCGCTAAGAAGAATGGCATATCCGAGGACCGTATAACCACTGTTATCTGTTTGAACCAAATGCCGTGGATGGCTTCTTTCGACTAGTATTTGCAAGCACTTGGGATAGCCTACGGCTAAGTGAAAGGGAGTCTGACCAGAATGATATGCTCTTTCTTCAAGGCATTCTGGATGTGTCCGTAAAAGGCGGCATATTTGTACTTGATCATTCGATATGACTGCCATTGATAATGGACCGTGGAATGCTTAGAGAGCAGTAAGTCATAAGAAAGGGAGGGATGACGCGATATAATCCCTAGTCACATACCATCGACTACTCTTAGCATTGTAGCATAGTAGTTAAAAGTTTGAGCAAGTTCCTGAGGCCGCAAATCATGGATGAAATGGGATCGATATGAACCATGGATATCCGCATCATATGGGTAAAATGCTTCGACAAGAGGTCCTGATGAAGGTCTGGGGATCGCAATGTTCAATGCTTGTCTTTTGAAATGTATTAGTCGTGAGAGATACTGGAGCTTTGTTTTGGTATGTTTTGAGCATCACGTTACTTACCGTCCCTGCAAGTCCAGCAATGATGCCGATACCTGTCTCTTTACAAGAAATGTAGCCAAATGTGCAATGGGTAAGCAGTAGGCTTCACCAATTTCATTGTTCCCAAGCATTATATAGATCATATCGGATGACTGTTTTAAAGCTATTTTTAGCTAAATCTCCCTCTACTAGTTAGGTTTTATGAAAAGTCTGTACTCACCACCTCAGCTACCGCATGGAGCAGAGATTGATTGCATGAGTCGACATCCTTCGCGCTCGCTTTGCCCAGTCTGAAGAGACATTCAAGTTTCTGGCTTGCTGAAAGAGCCAAATTTTCCCACTGAGCCTGATCTTTTGCTCGCTGGGCCTTCTGCATGTAGCGGATCATACCAACACATTCCTCTAAAACGGATATGACACGGAAGGCCGGGGACACCATCCGATCAACGGTTGCACGATATTCGAAATTCGCGCCGAGACTTTGACCACCTGCACCAGTACTTGTGTATAATGTGATTATAACGGCATTTTTTATCAAGCTCGTAACCCTTAAGCGTCGGGTTCGGCTCCGTTCATCGCCATTGCTTCTGAAATTCTTGCAGCCTTTGTAATGTTCGAAACGAAGTATTTCATCATCCCAAAAGTCCCATGGCAGCCAAGAAATTCGCTTAGTCCTGCGAACTATGCGACGCCGACAGGTACATGAGCTCGCTTCGGCTATAGGAGCCGTTTGGAGGACATTGTTGGTAGATATTGCGTTTTCAGAATACTTCTCCAGGCCGGCACACAGCGCCGCTAAGTTACTTGGCTTGTAGGCGAGCTTGTAAATGGCTACCCTGGGATCTGCCTCGTCAAGTGCGGCTGCCCCGGCGGTGTTATTCTGTTGAAGTCGATCAAGTAAATCGTCTAATTTTGTGTGTAATGTGGAGATATCGGAGTCAAGTGCGGCAAGGCTGCTTGATGCCTGTTGGGATGCGGCTTCAAGTTTGCCCAACTTGCTTGTTGCCAAACAGCTGTAACTGCTATTAAAATTTCGTCTAGTCAGTAGCTATAGCACATTTAGGCCAGTAGACATCTCACAGTTCAAGATTTTGAAGAGCCAGATCAAGTGTTTCTTTAACCGCCCCAAGTGATTTTTGAATTCGGCAAAAATCTGGCTTTTGAATGGGGTATTTCAACTTCTTAACTTGTTGCTTGATTTTGTCTTGTGGGCGTGCATTAGGTGAGAGGCTATCTGAGAAACGTGCCGCGAGCTGCTTCAGGCTATTAAGCTCAGCTTCGCATGTTTGCATGGAGCTTAAAACTTGAGCGGCGGCTGGTAACGTGGAGGGATCCAAGGATCCTTGTGTTAGAGACTCTCTGAGAGTCCGGAAGACAGACTCTAAGCCTTGGGCTTGTCGGTCAATAGAGGCGAGGTCCTCATCGCGATCTTTGAGAGTGCCGATATAGGTCGCGATGACAGAACAAACATGGATCCCTTGCGAAACAACCCCGATGGCGAAATCAGTCATCGCTTGGCTTCGGGCGATACTTGACTAGCAAGATGTCATGTGTCTGTGTCAAATATTGTGATGAGGAGAATGAAATCAATTTCTTGCTGAATTATCTAGCTGATAGGGATTGGACAAGAGATGTGGAATGTATTTAAGTTTAAACCACTGAACACTGAACTCCCAAAGGATCTAATCGAGGCGAAAGCAAGCCATGTTTATGACGTGGAAACCTGGGATTAAGAGGGCTCAAGGCATTCTTCATGCAACGCGACCACCGTTGTGCAAACAAAAGAATGACGATATTGGCGATAGTGGTGCACGACAATTTGAGACATACATGTAATACGCGAGTGGCAGTGCAGTTGAGCGACTGCCTATCAAAACTCAACATTACTCGGTATAGTGACTTCTGCCTAACGCTATAGACCAATGCCAACATTCAGTGCAGAGTGCAGAGGCATAGGGATCGGATATAGATGTACAAGGGAACCAGATCACCAGGCCATAGTGGTGGTTGTTGGCTTGCCTATTAGGATAGCGACGCTATATGCACGCATTTGTTGTTGACGATGGAGGCTCTTACCGTCTAAATCTATATAGTCATTTGACGCCATAGTAAGTATTTGAGCTGTTTGTTCAGTTGCTCCTGAAAATGGAACCATGCAACTCAAAACAAACCATCCCAAGGCTCTCAGAACGGCAGAACCTGAATTATGATAAAGAACTCGATAGTATCTCGAACTTTTCGCTGCGGGCTATTGTGTCTATTTAGATTTTTCTCATAAGCTCTTTTTATGAATGATATATGTAATTAGATATCAACTTCTGGTGCTATAGGCTGCCCAGACTATTGCGACTCTTATTTGGCCTCTCTGGTGCTGTTACGGGTTACACTACAATACCCCTCTCATCTTCCTAAGAAACGAATTGACTGTCCTTCATAGCCCTAGCCACTCTAAGCAGGAGAAAAAAGAACGAGCTTTAGCCAGCGATGCCTCATTTGGCTGAATTAAGAATCAACGACTTTTCTAATTGGCTAATTCTGATTCGGATCTCAAAGGCCGTGTAGGGTTACAGGTTATCACCAGAACAATTTTGCCGCCCGTCGACAGCGACAGGGTTTATGGTGTATTACTCCGAAGCGCATTTCATTTCTACTTTTTCTTTGGGGAAAAGTCTCGACTCTGGCTACCTAGTACCACATAAGACTACTATTTAATTTCGGCAATATTCCGTAGCTAGGGCCGATGTGACTTGGGCCGCCCTCTCGTCCGAGGCTCAATGGCTGAATGACTTCAATTCAGCCATAATTCCCCCAGCCGCCGCTGTGAAAGCGCCGAAAGTATTCGAATGAGATGCTATTGATGCATGCACTTTACTAGAGTATAGACAATCCAACTCCATGTCGTTTTGAAACATGACCATGGCACTATTGTTCCGCGCAGTTATCCAGCCAGGGATCTCATGTATCCAAGGCGCTTCTCCAATGTCACCTTGATAAGTTAATAGCCTAAACAGACATATATAAAGCAACTATGAAGTCCAAGATTTTTCAGGTAGTGATAATGTCATTGGGATCTCCCTTAGCTTGAGTTGAATATCTATTCTTTTCCATTTCTTGAAATCATAAAACAACGCCAAGAATCCGTAGCCTCTTCACATCATCTCTACCACCAGAATTACCATGACAAACAACAAGGCTTCACGGCTGCTTGCAGCCTACCTATATCTCGGAGCAAGTGGTGTCGTAGCACAGCAACAGACTACTTGGGGGCAATGCGGAGGAATAGGCTACAGTGGCCCGACGAGCTGTACTTCTGGGACAAGTTGTTCAACATTGAACTCATATTACGCCCAATGTATCCCTGCTACTGGTATAATCACTAGCACCCGCACCACTCTTGCGTCGACATCAGCAACAACAACATCAGCTTCAAGAACCACATCAGCAACATCGATTCCACCGCCCAGCTCGGGTGTCCGGTTTGCAGGTATCAACATTGCTGGATTCGACTTTAGTTGCTCAACTGATGGAACCTGCAACGTGTCTGGTGCCTATCCGCCACTCAAGAATTACGATGGCGCGAACAACTATCCAGATGGTGTTGGTCAGATGCAACACTTTGTGAATGACGACCATTTCAATATTTTCCGCTTGCCCGTCAGCTGGCAGTATCTAGTGAATGCCAACCTTGGCGGCACCTTGGACGCCACCAACCTGGGCTACTATGATCAACTCGTCCAGGGATGCCTTGCCACAGGTTCATACTGCATCATTGACATACACAACTATGCTCGCTGGAATGGCAAAATCATTGGCCAAGGCGGCCCTACAAACGCTCAATTTGTTAGCCTTTGGACACAATTGGCGACAAAGTATGCCTCGGAGCCCAGGATATGGTTTGGCACTATGAATGAGCCGCACGATCTCAACATCACCACCTGGGCGGGTACTGTACAGGCTGTTGTTACTGCAATCCGTAATGCGGGTGCTACCTCGCAATACATCTCCCTTCCGGGCACTGACTATCAGTCTGCTGGACAAATCATTTCTGACGGTGGCGCAGCGGCTCTATCTGCCATCAAGAACCCCGACGGCTCAACAACAAACCTGATCTTTGATGTTCACAAGTACCTGGACTCGGATAACTCTGGTACCAACTCGATTTGTGTTACGGACAATGTCGACAGTGCATTCGCGCCACTAGCCACTTACCTTCGTACGAACAAGCGTCAAGCTATTCTGACTGAGACTGGTGGTGGCAACACTCCTTCGTGTGAACAGTACATGTGCCAGCAGATTAAATATATCAACCAGAACCCCGATGTTTACTTGGGATATGTTGGATGGGCTGCGGGCTCGTTCGATCCAGGATACCCGCTGGCTGAGACTCCGGTTCAAGCTTCAAGCGGTACTTGGACTGATCAGCCTCTGGTGTCGATGTGCTTTGCCCGTTGATGAGATTTTGCATATAGCACAGATAGAGTCTGTATAAGATGACTCCATGTCAATTCCGATATGTATATATATGGTAGATTGAGAAGAGGCATGCTGCATTGCCTAGAAGGTAAAATAACATAACGACTCAATAACTTGAATGGAAAATTGAACGCAAATATAAATATTGAAGAACTACTTATATCATAGAAAAGCATCTAGGCACTTACATGATGGATGATTCTTTGCCGCTTACCTTATACCATTTATTCTTTTGATATAATTATATATGATTAGTCGAATACGCCATTTTTGATTCCATCATTCGTTGGAAATTGAATGCTCCGCACTTATTGAAAAAAAAAAAGGAAAAAGAAACGAAGTTTGTGTGAGCGATGCCGCTTCATCTTCAACAATCTGCATTTCCCGATCCGGCTGCTCTGATCTCCGACAACCCCGCATTGGAATAGGAAAGCGGTGAGAGCGCACAGCTCCGTCATCCTGATAGTTCTAGAAGATCCCATCAGATACCCACTCTCCCAAACAAAGCCCATAGCTCCCAATCGCCGTTGCACTCATTCCTAAAGCTACACGATATACGCTCTTTACAATATACAGTCATCTCTACAGCTCACCATGGCGCAAAAGTGTGTCCGCCAGGGCTGTGGCAAGGAGTTCACCGACGCAGAGGCAGAGTGTCACTATCACCCCGGCCCACCCATCTTCCACGAAGGGCAGAAGGGTAAGAAGTGCTTTCGTCTATACGCTTTTCATGATGGTTCCTCCTCCTAGCTTGCGTGTCTACTTAAACTGACCGGCTCGACTCTAGGATGGAAGTGCTGCAAGCCGCGAGTGCTGACTTTTGACGAATTCATGAACATCCCTCCTTGTACGACCGGCACACATTCAACGACTGAAAGACCTCCCCCGGTGGACGAGAAACCTCCGATCGACGAGGCTGCCTTGGCACAGAAGATTTCCGAGGCTAGCGTATCTGCTCCAGTTCGATTGCCCATCCAGCCGGCACAGCACATTCCTACTCCGCCTCCGCCTCCCCCGGATTCTGAAGACGACGATCCGAGCTTGGACATTCCAGATGGAGCCGAATGTCGCCGAAAGGCATGCAGCGCTAAATATAGCAAGGGAGCTGCGAGGGAGGCAGAGCGGTGCGTGCACCACCCCGGCGTCCCAATCTTCCACGAGGGCAGCAAGGGTTATTCGTGCTGCAAGAGGAGGGTGCTGGAGTTTGACCAGTTCATGAAGATCGAAGGCTGCAACACCAAGGACAGACATCTCTTTGTTGGCAGCGGAAAGAAGGACAAGGCCGATTCCGGCAACGAAGAGATCCTGACCACAGTCCGGTGAGTTGTTCTAGAGCTCGATTTTACGAGGGCGCCCATCCCCCTAACTGAGTCCTTAGGCACGACTTCTACCAGACCCCCACGCAGGTCATTGCGTCACTTTTCTTGAAGAAGATCAAAAAGGAAATAGCAAAGGTCGACTTCAAGGCGAAGGAGATTGACCTGGACCTTACGACTAGCGACCCAACCCCGAAGAGATACACGACGACTGTGCCGCTGTTTGCGGAAATTGATACGGAAAAGTCATCTTTCAAGATCCTCGGCACGAAACTGGAGTTGACGCTCGTCAAGGCTGACGGATCTTCTTGGCCAGTTTTGCGAAGCGATGAGCAACTGACGGGCGAGATTCTTCAAATTGGCCGGGCGGGCAAGGTCTAGGTAGATAAGAAGACTGACATGGGGGTTCATGTAAAACAAAACAAACAAAACAAAAAAAGATCTAACAAAAGCGAAATAAAAGCGACAGCGCAGCGTTTAAAGTGCAACGGCCGTGGTGTGCTACGTGCGTGCGTGTAGAGAATATTGCGCTCTGGTATAAGCTTAATGCTACCCGGCCACCCCATTTTCAGCCATTTGATGAGTAGATTTAATCAGATTTACCATTCGTCCATTCATTTACCTGACGTATTAGTCTATACCCGTGCAAGTGAAGTGCATGGCAATATTGACACTCTTGCAGAGAGCTGATAGTGAGTGACTCGGGTCATTGATAAGGAACCCTGTCGTCGAATGTCACCAAATTCAGGTACGTAAAATGGACACTCCCCCCGCAGCCTCTCACTGGCTCCCCGCGAACGCTTGGCGCGAACAGCTTCAGCGATAAAGAGGTTGCCCCAATGTTATCTCTCGATGGCATGGCCATGGCCGCGGCTGAAGAGAGCTGATAACGGCTGTTTCTCCCACATGCTATTCCGTCATTAGTGCCCTTCATGGTCGACTGACTTTCCGCCATGAGCAGCCATGTGGCGCATCTGGCGCCTTCGTTTGCACGCCCTTTTCCGGTCTTATCGCTCAGATTATCTCATGGCGCATGTTGCTCGTGTGTGTCGCGCAATGATATAAAGGATTGACAGGGCCGCTAAATCGCCAGAGCCGTAGATTGTAATAGACAACATACCTAAAGTAGCCTTACTCTGCCGTCAGGTGAAGCTACACAACTCAGAACGTCCAACGCAACTCACCGTGAGCTTCTCATTTGAGCTTGAGCCAGCCATCAATTCACCGAGACAACACCGCCTTTATCCTCATGTCGGCCGAAGTATCTCACGGCCGCGGCGGAGCGGGAAACATCGATGTCGACGACACTAAATACGTCGACGGCGAGGTTGTGCGATCCGGAGACGTGGGCAGCCATGGCGACGGCGCGTTCAGTGCCGGCCGAGGAGGTGCGTTGTTTCCAATGCGAGTAATTTTTCATCTGGCAGCCCTCATCTAAGACTTATTCACAGGCGCCGGCAACATCACCGACATCGGAACCACATCAGCTCAGCGCAAAGACACCGATTTCGTCCCCGAGGCTGCTGTGAGAGCAAGCCAGGATGTCCAGGGGTATCACACGGGTCGCGGCGGCGCAGGCAATGAGCATCACGCCGAGGAGCATCCTGATGCGAAGCCTCGCCCCGTGGCGCCGGTTGGGCTGGCGGATAAGCTCAAGACAAAGTTGTTTGGCGCGTTCAAGCACTGAGTCTGCGAGGTCATCGCAGTGCGAGAGAAAAGCATTTGACCATCCGGGGTGCTGATGTTTTGGTTATGGTTCAGGTCACCATGTTGGACAACACATATGATATCCCACTTTTGAGTTTCGTTTGCTTTAGATGGCAGACTGCCATCACGATGCTGTCAGTCACTAGAGAATGACATGCGATGCAAGATAATACGCAGAATAAACCTTTCAGCCAACTGCGCCATGCGTCCTAGCACATAAGCCTGCCAGATGTGAATCGGGCAAGCGCAAGATGAACTGATCGAGGCTGTAATAAGCATATGTATCTCTTCCTCTTTAGCCCTCTTTATCTCTTCGCCAGAGATGTTGTTAATACCTTTCCCCTTCTGGGGATATGCAATCTGCAGCACCTCCGTACTGTAGAATAGTTGGTGACATCTGACAGTCACATAGTGGATGCAGGCAGCATCTTCAGAACATCACGCCACAAGCCAGAGACGGGTAGCATCGTCACTGTAAATCATTTCCACATCTTCATAGCCTCACATGTGTCCCCACTTGGGTCGCCGTTGACCAACACCTTCCGGAGTCGTGGGCGCCAATCTCGGGAATAATCGTATTGCGTTCCAACGATTTCTTCAACACCAGCCTGTTTTCGCGCGAAGAGTAAAACATGTTTGACCTCAGCTGACCTGCGAAGAAGAGAGAAAACAGCGCGTCACTCCGTTAGCTGGAGAGTACTAGCATCAGCTAAACCGGGTCTCTGACGCGAGAGCTCTCCACCTAGATCAATGCTAAAGCTTAGCCGTCCTCAAAAAGATGTTAACGACGCTTGCCACGTCCATATTTAGAAGTGTGTAGATTTGCTCAGGCTTTCGGGGCCACACTGGAGCGAATAAGCGAAGAGAAGCTATCACCGGATGCGCGATATGCAGCGAAGAGGGCGGGGATGTGACGAACTGGTTCATCGTGCAGCGGGCACATAAAGAGTTGCATGTCGCCCGTCGGCAAAAAAGAAGAAGAAAACGTGCCTGAGATCCTTCGGTTAGGCCAAGATTCGACTTGACCACTTGAGGGCTTAGTCGAGACAAGGCCTGCCATTCACATTCAGCCTGCGAGTGCTCAGCTTCGCCGGCATCCTCCCACCGTCGGCCCAGCAAGTTGGAGGCGGAGCTGCCCGTATTCAAATCCATGGCCCAGACCGACGAACCAGAAAAGAAGCAGCCGATAATACGATACGGCTACAGGCAGGCAGTCAGCCCCCTTTGCGCGACAAATCTCACGGCCTGATGCCGCCTGTTGTCGATTCTTCGTGCCCACTGTGAATTGCTGTGGAAAAGCGCGGGGTGCATTAGCAAGGCCCAAGGCACCGCTTCCGACTGGGTCAATCACGTGGGTCTTGTCACTGGTCAGACCACCGCCTCTGATTAGCTGCCTGCCATGACGCCGCACCGCCCGGAGCTCCAAGGACGGCGCTTCTGGTCGGGACTGTCCATCCTGTCCAAGAGATCCTACGCGACATCGTCCTTTGAAGCCGACGACGAGCGGTCCGACAGTGACGACGAGATGAGCCTGCGCGACAGCTTCGACAGCGACGTGCGGCCGGGCGTGCCGGCGTACGTCGGGCACGATGTCAGACCGACAAGCAAGAAAGAGCTTTGGGGATGGTACATGTATGGCTTCGCGGCCGAGACGTATGTCATCTGCGGAATTGGTGAGTCTTGCGTATCATATTCTTCCTTTGCATTGGGGTTTTATGTATTCTGCGGATTGTATCACTCATTTGGATGCTTTAACGGCATACCGCCGCCTTCACTTTTCCGTCCTCGCTACTAGATGTTGGGCCGCTGTCCGCCCTGGGTCTCCATCCAACGAGTTGGCTTGCTAATCCTGTGCAACAGCTTCCTTCATCCCAATTCTCCTAGAGACGCTTGCCCGAGAAAACGGCGTCCTCCTCTCGAACCCAGACAAGCCTTGCGGCTCCAGCGACAGCAAATCAGAAGATGATGGCCAGTGTGTCGTATACGTATTGGGCATCCCGGTCAACACGGCCAGCTTTGCCATGTATACCTTTTCGGCCAGTGTCTTCCTACAGGCCCTTCTTGTCGTCAGTATCAGCTGTGCTGCAGACCATGGTAATTACAGAAAGCGGCTTCTCCTGGCCTTTGCCTGGATTGGCGGCTTTTCCGTCATGTGTTTCATCTTCATCAGCAAGACCAACTACCTCATCGGTGCCTTCTTAACCATCATCTCCAACACGTCCTTTGGCGCGTCATTCGTTTTGCTCAACTCTTTTCTCCCGCTTCTGGTTCGAAACCATCCCGAAGTAACGGAGGCATATGTAACAGAATCACCTGAAGATGCCCGTCAGATGGGAGATTCAACCGACGACCTGGAGGGAGATATGGTTAATTCCACGTCGGAATTACTTCCTCCTGACGATCGGCATCACAGGAACGGACTGAAACGTGTAGCAACTCATGAGGAAATTACTTCCAAGGAGCTTCAGCTCTCCACGCGCATATCCTCTCTGGGCATTGGTATTGGCTATAGTGCCGCCTTGTTTGTCCAGTGTGCCTCCATTGGGATCCTCATCGCCATGAAAAACACGACATGGTCACAGAGAGTGGTGCTCTTCATCATTGGGGCTTGGTGGTCTATCTTCACCATCCCTGCTGCGATGTGGCTTAGACCCAGACCAGGACCGGCCCTGACAATTGATGGACGCAAGGACGGCGCTTCATGGTGGGTGTACTTGAGATATGCTTGGAAATCCCTATTTCGCACAATCCAGCTGGCAAGGCGTCTTATCGATATTATGCTCTTCCTGGGTAGCTGGTTCCTTCTTTCTGATGCAATTGCCACGACATCCTCCACGGCTGTCTTGTTCGCCAAGACCCAGCTTCATATGAAACCATGGGCATTGGGCATGATCAACGTCATTGCCACAATGGCTGGAATATTCGGCGCTTTTGGCTGGTCCTGGGTATCCAGAACGTTCAACCTGAAACCCCATCAGACGATCCTCGTCTGCATTGCCTTGTTTGAACTTATCCCGATCTACGGCCTGATGGGCTACCTCCCGTTCATCAAGCGCTGGGGTGTCATAGGACTGCAGCAGCCTTGGGAGATGTATCCGCTGGCCGCCGTGTATGGTCTCGTCATGGGTGGGCTGAGCAGCTACTGCCGCTCGCTTTTCGGAGAGCTGATCCCACCCGGATCCGAAGCCGCGTTTTACGCACTCTACGCCATCACCGATAAAGGATCTAGCATTTTTGGACCTGCTATTGTTGGAGCCATCATCGACAAGACTGGAAGCATCCGGCCTGCGTTTTGGTTCCTCGGTGCTCTTGTTGGTTTCCCCGCTCCACTCATCTGGTTCATCGACGTCGAGCGTGGCAAGAGAGAAGGCGAGAAGCTCGCCGAGACCATCGAAGGCTTCGAGCCCGAAGGCCACGCGGGAGAAGACGAGGAAGACGAGGAAGCGGCCCGCGGAATGCTAGCGGACTATGAAGCCGCCGAGGGCGACGGCGACGCAGCCCATCGACGGTGAGATGTTTATCTGACATCAGTTGCAATTGATTATGACGCGGTCAAGGAACCTCTCTCTTGGGGTTTGCTTCTTCCTGACCGCATAGGGCTCGTCAAACAATCTAATACCACAAGTGTGCATAGCGTAGGCGTTTTGGTTGATTAGTAAACTCTGGATTTTGCCTTTGGAAACTCCGGCAGAGCTTGATTCGGAGGCTACTTGGCCACTATTTCGTTTGTCTGCGAAAGGTTGGAGCTGAGGGCTCGGTAGTAATACGGAAACAAGGGCTAGGTTTAACTCGGTGAATAATACTTTGCTATTTCGGTTGATACTGTGCTTGGGGGGCTCAACTTGATTTCTGTTCTTCTATTCGTCGAACAACTGATATTCCCCTGTCTTCGAATGCATTGCTCAACTGATCCGCACAACTACTGCTGCCTAATAGAGTTGCCCCGACTCAACTGAGACCTCGTGCTGCTTACACACCGCATCCAAGCAAGGAACCTCGGAACCCCAAACTATCTTACATATTACATACCTGGTAAACTATATCGCAATCTGACGCCTACAAAATATCCATGATAGTCCCCCTTGTGCTCCGTAGTGAGAGTGACATTCCATGACGGGGGGCGTCTTATATACCTTGGCAAAGAACCAACAAGAAAAAGCCAGGCCACCTCGGTCGACACGACTCAACACCTACACCATACCCATACTATCCATCTTGAAAACGCCACCACCAAGGCGATCTAGGCCGCTACCAGAAGCACTAGAGAACACGGCTAAATTGCCCCAGGGACGGGGACCGCGCAAGGGATCCTATTAATTGATCCGATTCCATGCAGCAACGTGCTGGCATTTCCCCAATCCATCGCGCTAGACAATAGGTAAGCAACAGCGATTACATTACAGTGGGGGTTCTGCGTTTCCTCTGCGCGTTCATTTGCGTTGCGTATTCGCGTGTCCAGTGCCATTATTCCCAGGTGTTATACTGTACGTAACCCGGGCCAAGTACCTGGTCGGCGCGAGGTGCCTGGGGAGGTACATGACCCTGTTCCCTCCACTCTTTTCCACCTCTAGTGACCGTTCACCTATTCCTATTCCTCTCCTCTTCTGTTTTTGCCTAGCAGAACACGTTGGTTCGATAGGACGGCGGCCCAAGCAGAAGCAACGCTTCCTTTTCCTTTTCCTTTTTTTTTTTGCCTCTTCATCTCTTTTTCTCTCTCTCTAATCCCTCCCTGTTTTCTCTTCAGCACGGGTTGCGCGCCGCTGGGATCGCCGCTTGATCCCCGCCAACGGGTATTGTCGATACTACAAGCCCACTTTGGAAGGCAGCAGAAAAAAAAAGCAAAAAGGCCAAAAAAAAAAAATACCCATAGCTTTTGCGCGATTCCCTGTCGTCGACTTGCTCCTCTTCTTCGCCCTTGTCTGCCCCCCCGGGATTGCGGTGGCTACGCCCGCTGAGCTCTAGCCCGCGCCTTTGCTAGAGCTGTCATCTAGAATTCGGTGCATAGCAGGAATCCTACCTTATCTTGCTCCCGATTTACCAGGGCCCGTGCCGCTGTTGCAGACTGCCTGTGCTATTTATCGGGGCGGGCGCTTGTGTTTACATCGACATCGACCGGACCGGATCCAAGTCCCATCTCTCGCTTTGTCAGAGGCAGCAGCTCGCCAACAGAGTCGTTGCGCCCATTGCCGGCTGTCCGAATTCCTGCGACGCGCAACGCCCCAGCCCCAGCTTGCGCGACACCGGAGGCGCGCTGCCCACGGCCCGCGATGAGTTCCAAGCCTCGGAAGCGCTCTCGCCCTGCTCCAGACGGCGCCCCAGCTCCAGACGGTGCCGTCGCGGACGAGAATCGTGCCGATTGTCCCTTCACCGTCACCGTTGTCCCGGAGCCGGAGCGCACCGAGAGGGACGGCCCCAAGTCGAAGAAGAGGAAGCATGACAAATCCGACGAGGACAACAACAAAAAGGTCCAGACGCAAAATGCCGTCTTCCATCCCGAAGGCAAATTCAAGATGAGCCAATCCTTGAAGCTCTACTATGCCGTGGACCCCCGCAAGCAATGGCTCGACATGACACGCTACAACAGCTTCGTTCGTAAGTGCCGCTTCCCGCATGTCCCGGGTAACATCTGGACTCCGAGCAGCTAACCAAGCGGAACCCGTATAGTCAATGGCGTCAAGTATTACACTGAAGACTTTGTCTATGTGGCGAACGAGGCAACCATGGAACGGCAAAACTCTCTGCCTGCCGGCGCCAGCAAAGTTGCCAAGAAGGCAGATTACTGGGTAGCCCGGATATTGGAGGTTCGGGCCTCGGATGAACATCACGTATATGCCCGCGTGTACTGGATGTACTGGCCTGAGGAGCTACCTCTTGGTACTCTGGACGGCAAGAAGCAAATCTCTGGTCGGCAACCATACCATGGGCAGCATGAGCTGGTCGCCTCCAATCATAGTAAGCATCCAGGCGTCAATGAGTGCCTGTTGGGTCTCTAACATCGGGGTAGTGGACATTATCAATGTCGTTAGCGTCGTCATGGGCGTCAATGTCAAACAGTGGATCGAATCGAACGATGATGACATTCAAGAATCTCTGTATTGGAGACAGGCGTTCAACTGCAGGACGTCGGAGCTATCGGTAGGCAATTGCTATAACAGCCGCTCCGTCTCGATCACGGACAAAACTAACGTCTTTGCAAATAGTCGGTCGCCCTCGTCTGCAAATGTAGGACTCCCGCCAATCCCGATAAAACGTTAGTAGGATGTTCCAACAAGACGTGCGAGGAGTGGATGCATTACGATTGCCTACTCGACGATGTCCTCACCCGAGTGTACGATCGATTGGGGACGGATATCCCCCACAAGTCGGAAAAGCCGGCCATCAAAGAGGAGACGAAGGAGGATACAAAAGCCGAGCCAAAGGAGGGAGCCAAAGGAGACCTGCCTTACCGCCTGTTGAGCCCGTCAGTCGAGGGAGAGGACAGAAAGTCGCCAATCGTCGCCAACAGTGAGATAAAGGACCAGGTTCTCGTGAAGCAGGGGGATGATGAATCGTCCAAGGACACGGAAACTCCAACACCGGCACCGCAAAATCCCCTGGATAAATCAAAAGCAGCCTTGGCAAAGCGAGGAAAGCGTAAGAAGTCGTCTAAGAAACCCTGGGAGGGCCTTTTCGAAGCTACGCTCAAGATGAACGAAGGCCCCACGGCCTGGGAGGTGACAGATTTGAGAGAGGGCGTCGAGGGAGGAGAGAAGAAGTGGACAGAGCCGGCATATTGCCTGCTGTGCGACACCGTCATTGAGTAAACGGCGAGGCACCACCGACACGCAGGATACTCTTTCCGTGGTAATATCAGGCACTGGAATTGGATTTTTTTTACGTCAGCATTCCTATTTTCTGGAAAGGCGGTAATAGCGTTTGCTTCGCTCAGCTCTTCAACACACCTTGGACAACTGTTTATATCAACATAATATAAGGGGAAGAAGATAACAAAAACGAATATGACTAAACAAAAAAAACGGCAGCGGGAAACGGCACTATGCCAGGTGACACGACACTGAAGAAGGGAGGACGAGGGAATTGGCGGGGCGTTTTGGGCGATTTACGGTACTGGCCGGGACTATATGGTCAGGGGCATAGCAAGGCGGAACACCGTTTGCCTGTTCTCTCTCATAGAGGGTCTGGAAAAGGGGCGCTTGATATTTCAGGATTTGTGTGCGTTTTGATTTCATCTTGTTGGATTTCCGACCTTGGCAGCTTGAAATAAGGCGGGGAGGGCTATTTTGTCTTTGGGAGCGTTTGCTAGTACTATCTATCTCGTGCTCTCTTTTGCGCTGTTTCTTTTTTGCCCTGGATAGGTAGATGTGCAGACAAATTGGATGTTTGATGGTGAGAGTTGAAGAAGAAGATGATGATGACAATGATGGTGAAAGTGTGAATATGAGAGCTCATATAGCTATTGATATTATTTTTATAGTTGAGGAGCATCGGCTTCTTTTTTCTTGAGAATTGTAACATGCACTCAATTGTTGTGGAATTGAGGAATCATGCAGCTTATACTGGGAGTTGGTAGAGCTGTGTCCTCCACTGTGACTTTCAATGTTCACTCAAGCTCAAGCTCCCAACTCATCTGGTGGGGTTATCGCTGGGCGGACTGCTTCAACAGAGGCCCCCCATAAGCTGATAGCTGGGCTTCTTAGTGGCCGTTACTGGTGACGTGACCCCCTGGCGACCCGACAAGTCGAAACCCCGCGACTCTCGACAATATCTTGGGCTTCCTTTTACCGACCTCGCCCTGGCAGTTTCGCCGCAACCAACAACCTCCATTCCCATCTCCATCTGATATTTCGAGTCTGCATTTGCTGCAGCACATCCGCATTGAAATGGCTGCGGATCCCTTTGACTCGGCGCTGTGAGTTTCTTCTTCCTCTCCTCCTGTTTCCCCCCTCCTCCATGCCAACGCCCAAAAAAACATCCCATCCGCTGTTCTCGCTTCTCCTCCCCCCCCCCTGAGGCCCTTTGTTAATAATCCCTTTCTCCCAACACTCCAATCTCTCTGACCTGAAGCTGACGAATTCTCTCCTCTTTTTGATGCGTCCTGCAGCGATCTCCTCCGCCGCCTGAATCCGAAACACACGAGCGAGCACCTCAACGCAATCATCTCCCTGGCCCCTGATCTGACCGAAGACCTGCTCTCGTCTGTCGACCAGCCCCTCACCGTCAAGCGGTGCAGGCAGACCGGTCGAGACTATCTCCTCTGCGATTACAACCGCGACGGCGACAGCTACCGCTCGCCATGGAGCAACCAGTTTGACCCGCCGCTGGACGAGGGCGGCGTGGGCGGTGTCGGCCCCGGCGGCAGCGAGGGCGCGGGCGAGGGCGCCATCCCCAACGAGAGAGTCCGCAAGATGGAGATCAAGGCCAACGAGGCCTTTGACATTTACAGGGAGCTGTACTACGAGGGCGGCGTCAGCAGCGTCTACCTGTGGAACCTGGACGACGGATTCGCCGGCGTCGTGTTGGTCAAGAAATGTGCGTTGGCTTGCTTCCCTCTCCTTTCTTTCGTCGTCTTGGCCTTTACTACTTACACAGTCAACCCGGTTCCGAGTCTCATGGATATCAATATGCTAACAAACCCAATTTCCTTCCTTCTAGCTGCCACCCCCGGAACCGGCACCGAGGGCGTCTGGGACTCGATCCACGTCTTCGAGGCCATTGAGCGCGGCCGAACAACGCACTACAAGCTCACATCCACCGTCATCCTCTCGCTGTCCACCAACGTCGAGGCCACCGTCGGCGACATGGACCTCAGCGGCAACATGACGCGCCAGGTCGAGCAGGACCTGCCCGTGGAGAACGACGACAGCCACATCGCAAACGTCGGCCGCCTGGTGGAGGACATGGAGCTCAAGATGCGTAATCTGCTGCAGGACGTCTACTTTGGCAAGGCCAAGGACGTTGTTGGCGACTTGCGGAGCGTGGGCAGCCTGAGTGATGGCGCCAAGGAGCGGGAGACGCAACGGGAGCTCATTGGCAGCATGAAGCGATGACGAGGGCAGTGTGATGAAAGATGGAAGGATGATTGTTTTTTTTTTCTGGGAAAGCGATGAAAGACTACGTGCTCGATTATATGGTAGCAAATTACGCGTCTGTAAATCTTTGAAGAGAATCTTCGAAAGCATCTATTGAAAGAGTTTGCTAAAATGTGGTCTTCTCTTCTTCCCTTCTTGACATGGGAGGAGCTGTTATCTGTCCATCTCCTGGCTGCCAAGGGCAGTAGATGGGCTTCGTCGTGCCAGTCCATCAGTGCAAATAGGAATCATCTTGCGGAATGGTCTAGTCCTTCTGACAGCCTCGCTCTTCCTATTCATTCTGCAGTCTTACGTGTCCTGTGCAACGTTGTCTTTTGAGAAGAATTCTCTTAGTTTTTACTGACTGAGATATAAGTGTGAAGACGTCTGCACCGTGATGAATTCGTTCCAAAGGACCGCATCTTCTCTTCTGATACTTAATCTTCCTCCACATCATATCGGGATGAGTGTAGACCGAGCGTATTTGGTCCCAAGGGAGTGGTTGACAAGAGTACCTGGAGTTGATAGTCTATAAATCCAGCATCTTGAGTTTAACAAGAGTAGTTCAAAGACATTTTAACTACCTTGCTGTATTATTGCATATATAACCTCGATCACCTAGTTGTGACACAGGCAATAACGAAGATTGTATAGCATCAATGCTTTTCAATAGGAAGCCTGTTCAGAATTACTCTTCCACTCGTTGGCCGCTTTTGCACTCTTTGGCTAGTAAGCCGATTCGAGGCATGAGATAGACAAGTGTTTCATGGAAAAAAGTGCTGCATCAAAACCGACAAAGAACCGGTTGTAGTTGGACTGTATAGATGAATGAAACGTTTTGCTCTACACTTATCGCAGATGAATTCAATCGTGAGGACGTAGATCTGAACTTCGCCATGGTCTGTATAGAAGTTTGTTACAAATCTGTCATATGAAGTCAGTGGTCATCCATGTCTCGGGCATAATTCCGAACCTGGTATACCGTGATCCTCTCTACTCCGTAATTCCTCTTCCGATTCTTCCTCTTTTTGTCACATTGAGCTCTTTAACTCCAATGAACTCATGCCAAATTAAGCGAGACACAACCTTTCCACAAATCAAGAAGAGCCTAGAAATCTCATTGTGGCATCATCACCACGGGAGAGATTGTGGGTCATGGCCCCGGAGCTGGCTTTGCTTCTGCCCTCGATATTTCTTCTGCTCTGGGCTATTTACGAGCCCGGGGCACCACAAGACAGAGAAAAAATGGCCGAGGAAATGGATGACTTGCATGTAACGACGACCCAATGCATGACGTGCGCGTCCCTTGCAGGACCAGGATTCTCGCAAGCAAGCATCACTCGCTTGTACATGTTACATGTAGGTACTCGTAGTTGCAGCGGCACGGCTCGCACAGCCCGTCCCTTTGTTTGCTTTTCTCTTTTCTTTTGGCCAATGAATACTCTTAACTGTCGGCAACAAAGTTCACAAGACACGCGGGTATTGCTACTGCTTGTGTTATTTCGTCCTTGATCGGCCTGATTTCCATCTCCCTACCCATGTCATTGTGGCGGGCAGAACCTTGCCAAAAAATGACGGACCGGATTGTGTTGAATTTCCGGCGCATCCTTGGCCTGATCCAGATGGCAAAAAGGTTTGTGAACCAGGCATACGAAAAACACTTGTTGTGTACAAGTATGTATATCGCCGCACAGGCATGTCCCCCCAGATATGGATTTGATTTGCAAAGCAAAGGAGCCGTATGCACAATGCAACCGACGCGGAAATATACCCGACCAAATCCCCGTGTCCCCTGAGAGCACCACAAAGGCTTGGACAGCCCCCGTGACGATGGGTGGTAGATTGGGTGCTGCACCGTAGCGGATCCTTGCCATCGTGCTCTTCTTTCTCATTCGCGAGGCTCTGGGGCATGCCGCTCAAGATGGGACATCGTCACACCGTAGCAGTTCTGCGGCTGATGCTAGCGTGCAGTTTGATCAAGCGGCAACCCTTGACAAAGTGACAAAGGTATTCCACACGTCCAGGGATGAGGGCGATCTGTCTGCTGGGGCTGCGCCTTTAACCGTCCTCTTTTCTTCACCCTTGTGCTTGTAGCGTGCCTAGACAGTAGTAGTACGAGTACAGGACTCGCAGTAGGGGCAATGTCATCGGTATTGGGTGGTACGGTAGACTGAGTTGGCAGCTTCAACTTGTGCTTTCTCGTCTTCTGCACCCCGGTCGAGGCCTTCAGACACAGCGGAGCGGGCAAAGAGCTGAGCGTGAAACGCACAAGACAACCACGGCGCTATTTGTTCATGACTCGTCGTTGGATATCTGCTGCATTGGTGCCTTGCAGGTGAGAAGATAGTCCATGAAAAGTGTGGTGGAGTTGAGCAAGCCTGCAGTTGAGGGACGGACAACCCTTGGACCTGGTGGCGTCCAAGAGCCTGCAAGGAGCACAACCAGAGAGAGTTGGCAGAATCCAACCCAGAGGATAAGGCGCTATCCTTGCCAGTCTCCCTCACGCCTGTAAACTCCGTACTCCGCTGGCATGCGTATATTACTTCCGCAGATACCAACAGCGCGTGTTGCTGCCAGTATCGTATACACAAGGACACCGACACACTAGCAAGTACTGGTAATACATTGAGAGGCGAACAATGGGTCTCCCTGCTTCAACGCCCGCGTTTTCCTGTCTCACTCGTATGTGCAAGATCCTTGGCAAGAGGCGAATAAGCCACCACCCGAGGGCCGCCTCCTGCATGTGGCAGTCAAGGAGGGCTCAAAACGTGTGTTTGACTCCGTACAGCCCACGAGAGGCAGAGAGCGAAGGCATGGATGTGGGTCTTTGGATTCCCTCCCTGCGCTTCGTAAAACAGGCCTGTGGGTTGACTGTTTGTAAGCCACCGTGCCTCTCCAACTGTAGGTATTCCGCAGAGGCTTGGGACAGGAAACGTAGGCTCCGTATCGTGTCTGAACATGCCACCGGCCATGTCCAACTTCCGCTGTACGGGTACCATCCTGTGGCTGCTGTAGAATGAGCGCATGAAGAGAAGATGAGCCGGGTCATCTCGACGCCCACGCGACAAAATGCGGTCTGTTTCGATTGTCTCGGACGTCGAGTCATTGGCTGAAGCACCCTCTTCTAGAACGACGCTTGGAACATATGCAGTGAACCCCGCACCCCACGTCGTCAGTGATTTGTTCGACAGTTGAGAGACGTCGAAAGATTCAGAGCTGAGAGAATGAGTACAGCACTTGATATGCACGTCCTCACGCCAGCTGGCCTTGGGCTCTCGTTGCCCGTCCCAAGCGCTGGGGCCCGTCTCGGCGGGTCTTGTATATTACTCGGCCGGAGATGATTCACGTATGGGCAAGGCAGAAGAGTGCGAGTAGTAAATCCATCGCTCTACTGAGAGCAATAGTGCCATGTTACGGCCGCCAGTCGCCCGTTCGGAGCGGTTCGTCCCACCTAAAGGCTGCGCATGGCGCAACAAAGTCCCACTGCTTAGTGTCACAAGGGCAAAGGCCGGAAAGCGATTGCTCAAAGGTGGTGGCGCCACTCATTACTCCGGTCGGGCGGCGGCGTCGGGTCGGGTCGCAGATTGGATGCAGAAAGTACAAAGTATTTGCACATGTCATGTTGGCGGAGCTGCTGCCATCAAGGGATTCGCAGACGGGTTTCAATATCCGGTCGTATTAGCGAGGGATCTTGACCTGTCTGTCTGATGGGTACGAGTACAAGCAGGTACATGGCCCAAGATTACTTGCACAAGCAGCGTAATGACGGACGAAGGGAGACATGTCCAAGTACGGCGTTGATGCTACAGCGGTGCCTTGACAGACGTCGTACTGGCTGAGTCGCAGGAACAGTCCGGGAGAGGGAAAGGTGAGACATGACGCGCATTGCGGTGAACCTGGACCTTTGGGTTCCCACTTGAACAAGAGCAGCAGGACGCTTCGCCGTGCTTGGCAGACCGGAGTAGCTCTCGAGACATGAAAACTCGGCCGACTGCACTGGATGGCAAATAATAACACTCCGCTTAACCCGCTACATCGGTGGGGATGTCGGCAGGGATGCTGGGACCTGGCAGCGGTTAGCCGCCTTTCGAGGTGTAAAGTACTGGGTAGGACCAAGTACGAGTAACACATCCGTCGTCGTACAGAAGAGCACTTGGGCTGGACAATTTCGCTCGCTGCAGCTGTCAGTTGTTTGCTGGGCGAGTCTTTGTGTACCTGGTATGGGCTACCAACCTGGGGAGCAGGGGAAGGGATGGAACAAGGTCCAGCGCCTCGGAACGGTGCTGCTCTGGGCCGAGTGCCTCTGCTGGACTTGGGCTGTATAGTGGCTTGAGGCCATCATCAGCACTGTGTCGTGTCGTGTCGTGTCGTCCAGGCCCTGTCTCTCATTGTCCAGTCACAGCCCATGCGTGCCTGGGTGTGCCTGGAACCCTCCCGCAATGCTCGGTACTTGTACTTCGTATGGTATGGCTCATGATCAATGCTGGATGGACGGCGACAACCATGACGGCCTGTTACATGTAATTACCTGGACAAGAGTGGCCCGGCCTAGCTTCGGCTAACTCCCTGTCCCGCGGACCAGAGCCTGTGCTGTCTTGGTACCTGTGTCTGTGTAATGGCTGACATGTCCCAATTACCCCATACTCATCAAATGGATAGGTATGGATTTCATACCGACGGACATCGTCACTGTCGCCGATACACAAGACGGCGGATGACGCTCGGCACAGCCATTTTGACAGGTGCTTGGCAGATGCTCGTACATTCAGGAACAAGCCCATCCGGTAGTACCTCCGTAATTGCCTTGGCGGTTACCCAGCATATCTTAGCATCAATGACATGACATGACACGACAGCTTTTGGCGGTGGAAGACAACGCAGAACGCTGCACTGCACTGACACGGCGGTGCGTCCGGGCAGTCTCTTCGGTCTGCTAGGTCCTGGGCTGTACTGTAGTGGGGGGGCCCTTTGGTGCTGTGGTGGCTCCCCCCGTAACGGTAACGGGCACCTCTTTTACGTGTATGAGGTGGACTGGATTCTTCAAGGCGGCGGTAAAAGGTACTACAAACCCCTCCATGACCAATCCCTCGATCCGTCCATCCAAGCTACCTTGCCATTCCTTGCCTTGCCTTGCTCGACCTTATCCACCCATCCCTCCGTCTCAGGCACTTGGCTTGGTCTCACCTGCGAGATACAAAAGTTTGCCTTTTTCCTGCCCTCGCCTCGGCTTCCGCTTCGGCTTCTCCTGGCACAGTGCGTTTCTGTTCCTCTTGTCTCGCAGTCTTTCCCTCCGGCAGTTGTGTGGGTGATCCGGGATCCTGTACCGAACCGACTCCTCAAACAGGTCAACAGCTTACCCGTACCTGGCTTTTAGTACCCAAGGCTGCCTGCGACCTCCCTCTTTTCCTCTCTCTCCTCTCTCTGATCCGTCTCGAGCCTCAGAGCCGTGCACATCCCTCGGCATATTTGCTACTTCGCCAAACACCCGAGCAGCGACATCCGATCAGCCACCCCCCTTTGGCGACGCTGTTCTTTTTCCAACCCGAATAAAACAATCAAGAGCGTAGGGGAGGGTGAAACGCAGCCGCTAACTCGAAACCGTGGCCCGCCACTTCGCGTTCTAACGACCATCTCATCTCGCTGCCACGCAGTCTCGCGCCTCCTCGACCGCCACAGCAGCAGCTTTGAACATGGCTGACGAGAAGCCGTCGGTCCTAATTATTGGGGGCTTGGGCTATATCGGCCGCTTCCTCGCCCAGCACATCCACCAGAACAATCTTGCCTCGGAAGTCCGTCTTGTCGACAAGGTACTGCCCCAGCTCGCCTGGCTGGCACCAGAGTTTTCGGAAGCTTGCGCCCCGAGCAAGTTCATGCAGGCCGACGCTAGCAAGCCGGGTAATTAACCGTCTTTCATTCTGTTCATTCTTCGGGACTGCCACAGCTGCCCACGAACCATCATGGCTAACAACGTTTGTGCTGCTTGAAACAGAGGCTCTAGTAAAAGTGTTCGATCGACCCGATGGCAAGCAGTGGGACTATGTCTTCAACTGCGGTGGCGAGACGAGATATTCCCAGGAAGACGAGGTCTACAAGTTGAGGTCTTTGGATCTTTCCATTGCCGTTGGCGAGGAAGCCGCCAAACGCAAGGTCAAGGCATTTATCGAACTTAGCACAGGCATGGTGTATAAATCGGATTCGTCACCGAGCAAGGAAGGGGATAAGCTGAAGCCGTGGAGCAAGATTGCTGTTTTCAAACTGCAGGCAGAGGAGGCATTGGCCAAAATCGAAGGGTAAGCCGTACTGAGTCCCCCCTCTTGGCTCCGCGTCTTGTTCGCCTAACAATGGTGTGCCTACAGGCTCAACCTTGCGGTTGTCCGTCTCCCCCATGTGTACGGCCCTTATGCCTCTCAGTGGGTTGCGACAGCCCTGTGCATGGCCCGCGTTTACCAGCATCTCGAAGGGGAAATGAAGTGGCTGTGGACCAAGGACCTGCGAACTAACACAGCGCATATCCATGATGTAGTACGAGCTCTTTGGGACACTGCCGCCTGGTATGACGCTGGCAAGGCCAAATGGAACGAGAGCGAAATGGGCAAGGTACCCATATTCAACGTGGTGGACAAGGGCGTCACTACGCAAGGAATCATGGCCGATATCATTGGCGAAATCTTCAAAATCGAGACGGGCTTCCAGGGACAGATAATTAGCAGCTTTGCGAGAATGAATCTCGACAGCGTCGTGGATGATGTCAATGACGAGATTCTTGGCCCCTGGGCCGATCTGCTATCCGACGCCGGCATTACACGACCGGGCCCCCTGACGCCATTCATGGAGAAGGAGCTCCTCAAAGATACCGACCTCAGCATGGATGGCAGCAGGCTGGAGGACGTTTTGGGCTTCAAGTACGAGAAGCCAGTCATCACAAAAGAGCTCATCGAAGAAGTCATTGAGAGCTACAAGCAGATGAAGTGGTGGCCATGAGAGGGAGGTTGAGCAGGGCCTCACACGGCACTCGGAGTGTGAGAAATCAGAAGCATGGCCGATTCGACGCCGAAATCGTATTCCTTTTTGACAGCTATGCATATTTGAAAAGCAAGCGGCCGATTGACGCCCAAGCAGACTTCGTGGCTGAAAAGCTTATCGACGGAGACGGATGGTCCCCGGAAGTAAGGGAACACCAGGCGTGGTAGTCTTGGGACTCATGGCGATAATGACTGAGGTTTTAAACGAGCCAGGAAGCAACTTCTGGTCGATGTATCATTAGATATCCACATGGTTCCGGAAGAGAGTAGCACGATATCCGCCCCGGGAGTTGAGTTCAAATACAGATGCAGGGCTTGTCTTTTTTTTTTTTTTTTTTTGTTATTTCTTTTCCTCTTCTTCTGGATATCTCCCCCTTTGGTTTTCATTCTTGTTACATTTATTCCGAGAGTATCAAGGGGTTGATGGAATACTGGTAATGGGTTATGGTCTGTTGTTGGTGACTATTGGCAGTTGTCGAGTGTGTGAGGAGGTGTGCTGTCTATCCGTTCTGCTCTACACATGTTACCAGGGGCTTTTCTTTGCCAGCAATATGATGTTTATTAGACATGCATGACTCTTCTCATATGACTCTACTCTCAGCAACTTTCTGGAAATATCGTGTACTTGCTGCTCTCAGGACCGAGACGGGGTCAATACTTAGTACAGGCCCGATCTTGGTAGTGCCGGATCAATAGCCCAGTATGAAAAGTGCCGCAGACTGTAAATCTTGTCGAAATACGGCGTCCATTCCTGTTGACGACGGGTAATTGAACCCCATCAGATTGGATGTCATTTCGAGCAAGAGGGGCCACGAACACCAGTCGAAATGGGGGAGGAGATTGACCTCTCTTGGGGAGGGGATCTTTTTTTTAGCAGGCTAGGCTCGGGTTACTCAGCTCATGGCTTAGTGCCCGTTTGGGAGCGTGTCGCCAGGGTGTGCATTTGGGGGCATGTGCATGCGAGGACTAGCAGAAGCGCCTCGGAAGATGGCGACCTGTTGGTGCTGCGGAAAAGCGCTGCAAGCTTGTGATAGTTCCCACCAGAGCTGTGCATTTAATGCGCACGACTTGCACCCTGTTTTGGGGCCACCCTCTTTTTTGTCATTGAACTCTTTCTTGTTTCTGTATTTCTCTCTCTCTCTCTTCTTCTTCTTCTTTCCTTCTGTTAGTACCAAAGTAAGCCTCACCCAAACAACCGCCCAGAGCAACTCGCAAACATGGCTGCCCCCTCGAGCAAGACGACCAAGAACCTCAATGGCCTATGGACCATGGTAAGAAAGCTCCAGGCTCCATCCAATTCCCCGACATCCCCCCTTGCCCGCCTTCACTTGTCACTTGCGTTTGGCCCCCCTGCCTCGAGGGGAAGCGCCCGCCAAGAGGGGGATTTTGGTTTTTACCCCTCCCCCGCTATGAGAGCTTCTCTCGTCACCTGGCAAAAGAAAACACCAGCGCCAACCGCGCTCCATGAGGATGATGAGCTTCTCTCGGAAAGGGGAAGCTGGCTAGCAGTGGATCAGATGGCATCATGGTGGGCAGTGACGATGTGTAACACCCGGAAAAGTGATTGTGTATCGCTGGGCCCTCCGTGTCTTCCGACGGGATTGTCTCGATAAAATGACATCAGCACGGCAAGAAGAAAGCATCTCCACTAACGGTACACGCACACAAAACGCAGAACAAGACGCTCTCCGACTCCTCGGAGCCGGTGCTCTCCCTGCAGGGCGTCGGCTACCTGGTCCGCAAGGGCATCGGCCTGGCGACCATCACCATCGAGGTCGAGCAGTACGAGGGCCCGCCCAAGCCGCCCAACACGGCCGCCGACGTGGTCACGCACATCGACATCAAGCAGTCGGCGTCGGGCCTGTCGAGCACGCAGGAGAACCGCTGCCTCGACAACTTCCCGCGCGACCACACCGACTGGCTGTTTGGCACCGTCACGGGCCGCAGCCGCTGGGTCTCGCTGGACGAGGTCACCGACGAGTATCTCAAGAAGGGCTGGGAGGTCGAGGGCGGGGGCCAGAGCTTCATCACCAACATTGCTGAGAACAAGGAGAAGGGATGGGTTGCTGAGCAGGTCTGGGGATTTCAGATTGTTAATGGTGAGCGCAGGTACTGCAGGCATGTTGTTGTGACTAAGGGAGAGGAGCGGGCTCAGATCCGACTCGTCTATGACTTTAACGACGAGTAAAGGGGGGGCTTTGTGTGTGAGATGTGCTTATTTTGATATCATATAGAAGAGCTGATGGGCGGGAGGAGTGCCCAAGACGGACTGCGTTTCAGTCTATAGCCTTCATGTTTGTTTCTTCAAGAGTAAATAAAGACCCCAACTTGGTTATCCAAGGCCCTGGCGACTACGTGAAATCTTGGTGTCGTGGCGAGATGCTGAAGAAGTGTCTGTTGCCTGCTTTATCCCTTAAGCATGTGCCACTGTTCCTGCTACTTTCTTACAAGGTCTGCTTCACCATGTTCTTGATATAAGTACACAGGTATGTAACTTGGAAACTGGATGCTGGATATTCAATTTGGTGATTCGAATAGCGTCCCCTTTAATAAGCACATAACATTTACCAAGAGACATCCTTTCCAGGAAGATATTTATTTCAAGATGTGATTTATTCCAATTGTGTTGAACACCAACGTCATGAGTAGCTATATCTGCAAGCACTGCAGCTTCTCTTCTTTATGAGCACACAGAGTCCTTTTCACCACGCTTTGCACAAATGACTTCCCGGCCCCCCTTCATCAAGTGCAAGCAAACAAGCCCAATAGAAGTTCCAACGCAATGTTGAATATGGCCAAACGTCTTCCAAACGCCGTCTAGGGCCTCAAAAAGTGCACATGCTTCTCGTCCACCCGCCATAAAGATACCTTACGGGTCCGCCCTATTTCGGATACAACTCGCTGCCCCCTTGTTCCTCGGCAACTGACTTAAGCAGGCCGCCTCTTGACAAACTCTTCCAGGTCCTGCACCGTCGCCACACCCAGCACAAATCTCCGGTTCTCATCCGTGATGACAGCAAACTCTTCCTTCCACGTCCCGTCGTTCTTGTCGCCGCGGAAAAAGGCCTCGAGCTCCTCCAGCGGAGTCTGCATGGTGATGACCCGATAGGTGCGGCCTTTGCGCTGGAACCGTGTCATGGCGGCGGAGAGGGGGTCGCTGGGCTGGACGCGGCCGGCCTCCAGGAGGGACTGCAGGTGGGGGATGGAGATGTAGCCGAGCAAGGCACGGGTTTCCGCGTCGACGATGGTGAGGTGTGTGTACTCGCGCTCAAAGGCTGACATCATGGCGAGGGAGATTGCGTCGGACGGGTTGAGAGAGAGGGCGGCGGGAGGGTCAAGATCTTCGACTGTGGCCTGCGAGAGGAGAGATTCTGTCAGCTGAAGGTTCGATTGGTGTGAAGCGACACATTTGCAAAGCTTCGAGACTCCTTGGGTAGCATGAGTAGTCTAGGCGCATGCCGAGTCGCCAAAAGGTCGTTGTTCAACTTACGCCTCGATATCTTGATGACCAGGCCGTGGAGAAGGGGGCGGTCGCCACGGGGCCAGCCGAGGCGGGCTGATGCGTCAATGTGGTGGCCATGGCTACAGTCTGATGCTCGCTTCTGCTTTGGGGCCGAATACGATGGTGTTGTAGTCTGGCCTTGAGGCAATGGAGATGACTCTGGCGACAGATATTGGCAAATCGCCGGGGTCAATTGAGCCACCGCGGGGCGTGATTAGCTCAGCATCCAGTGGCCTATTTCGGCGGGGTGGTCGCTGAGCTTAGAGCCGCCCGTATGATTTCATGTGATGGCCTCTTCAATGTCATCAATCTTCCAAGTATTTTGTTTATGTTAGCTGCCTGGTTTGTGGATATAAATTTTGCATCTGGTAGAATATTATAATGGAGATCGGGAGTAAGATGATATATTCTTGCATACCTGACTGGTAAAAGCTCCTCTTTTCTCTTAGATTTTGAACCTGACACCACGTCTCTACTTTTACCAATAGAATCACTCCACAAGCTCTCTTAAAAGGCATTGAAAGAGAGGAATGATTGATAGAACAAGTTCCAACTAGAAACTCAATGCCGCATGAGTGCATCCTTATCCCATTGTACCAGCCCCTAATGTGCGTGTCTGTTTCGGGATATCGTCTGCGACGCCTCGAGTCTTTTGTGGACCGTCTTTAACTCCGAATCGTCCCGCTTCGCCTTTGCATCGCTCTCCGGCACGCCTGGCAAGTGGAGTATTGCATGTGAAGCTCCCAGCCGGTCCGTGCGGCTTCTCGATCGATGCTATCGGGTTTTATGGATGACGATCTTTGGTTACTTGCCCAGTAATACCGCAGCTTGTATTATATAGGCGAACATGTTGGAAGCCATACAGCTTCTGTCAAAAAGCCACGAGGTTGGACTTCCATCATTATTAAACTCTGTACCTGAAAAGCAGCTGTATCAAGGTCGCGATTGATCCGACCTTCCTTGACAGATTATTCTATGCTTCTTGAATCTAGACATTGGTGGGGCAGAGAGCTACTTTCACCACGGAGAGCCAACCCCCATAGCGGCTCCGTACCTCCAAGCCGTGTTTTAGTACCTCGACGTTGCTAGAGTAGCCGTCTTGCCGTCATTGATCGCTCGCTGCTCGGGCGCTGAGGAGCCGTTATCTTGACGTTGAGTGATGTCACTCTTTTTGCTGCTTCCAAGTCCGTGGTGGCCTGGCATGCCTGGTTCCGCGGACTTTATCCGGAAGGAAGCAGTCGGTTATCACTGGGCTTGTTCCTGTCTGCGACATTTATAACTTGTGAATCCTTCACATCTTCTGTATCACCTCATTTCCTCTCCCTGGAATCCATCTCGCGATCCTCGCTGCACGGGCAATTGTCGCGTGTGATTCTGCTTCCTTCCACCTCTAGGTACAAGTGACGGGTGTGGCCCTGTGAGTTCCTCTCCATTGACCGAAGTGGCTGCTCTTAGAGCTGCCAGTTGCGCCAGCTGCTATTCCACGGCCCTTCTTCATTCCCCCCTCCGCGTAGCCACAAGAGCGTAGTCGCTTCCAGCACGTTTCCCACGTTTCCCCCCTTCTTCCCAAGTCCTTGTACATGTCACGATCCTAGGCAATTGGACTCTTGCAGCGTTCTAATTGCAGTTTCAATCGGCTTCATAGGCAAACCTCAGCTGTCGGAAACCTCGGCGTGCCAATCCACCTCTCGGCATGGCACACCTCTATCCCAAGGCTGACGCCTTGAAGGGCGCCTTCTTCAGCCCAGCATCCACAAGTCACAACTCGCAAAATGCGGCGACTCCTCTCCAGGCTCGCCCTGAACTCTACGGAGCTTGGTCCGTGGTGGACAGCGCCAAAGACAAGGCCGTGAAGCTGAGCAATGAGGCTACCAAGGAATTCGAAAAGGCCAGTTCCGCAGCCCAAGCCAAGGCGGGAAAGATTGAGCTGTACTCTGGAAAGTATTATGCAGCGTGTACTTTTGGAGGGTTGTTGGCATGTGTGAGTAATTGGTCGCTGTCTCTCATTGTCTGTGCCGTCTCAAACAAGGACACTGTGCTCACTCACATATCTTCGCCAGGGCCTCACCCACACTGCCGTCACACCTCTTGATTTTGTCAAAACTCGCCGTCAGGTCGACTCATCTCTCTACAAGAGCAACTTCGAAGCATGGGGAAAGATTTACCGTGCTCAAGGCCTCCGCGGCATCTTCACTGGCTGGAGCCCCACCTTGTTTGGTTACTCGGCCCAAGGTGCCTTCAAGTATGGATGGTATGAGTACTTCAAGAAGACATATTCCGACTTCGCTGGCCCAGAAGCCGCCCACAAGTACAAGACTGGTCTGTATCTAGCCGCCTCGGCATCAGCTGAATTCCTGGCCGACATTGCCCTTTGCCCCATGGAAGCTATCAAGGTTCGAATGCAGGGAGGCTCGCCGAACCCCTACACCGGAGCTCTTGATGGATTCAGCAAAATCACCGCAAAGGAAGGCTATGCTGGTCTCTACAAAGGTCTTTATCCCCTCTGGGGCCGTCAAATCCCTTATACCATGATGAAGTTTGCCTCATTCGAAACCATCGTTGAGATGATCTATGCTCGCCTACCTAAACAAAAGGATGAGTACAGCAAGGCTGCGCAGACCGGTGTCTCCTTCACTGCTGGTTACCTTGCTGGTATTCTTTGTGCTATCGTCTCTCACCCGGCAGATGTCATGGTCAGCAAGCTCAACTCGGTACGCGAGCCCGGTGAGGGTTTCGGTTCCGCCGTGGGACGTATCTACAAGGACATTGGCTTCAGGGGTCTGTGGAACGGCTTGCCTATGCGAATTGTCATGATTGGCACCTTGACTGGTCTCCAGTGGATGATTTACGTAAGTGTCTTGCTTGATGAAGACGGGGGAATTGTAGACGTTGTGCTGACCTTATATCATAGGACTACTTCAAGATCTTCATGGGCTTGCCCACTACTGGCAGTGTGGCCCCGCCCGCCGAGGAGAAGAAATAGAGAGTATAGATGGACTAGGCTGGGTAGGTCAAGGGGGAGCTTCTTGAGGTCGGATCTGAGTTTCTTTGATGAGTTATATCGCAACGTGGTTAAAGTCAATTCCGTTGATCACCTAGTCGAGAAAGGGAGGGGAACATCGTCTTGCGGGTTTTACGCCTTTCAAGTCGTTATATAGTTGTAAGAATATATCCATGTATTGCGTCACCACTACTTAGAAAATCCTTTCTGATAGCTACAGGCCAACTCTATACTTTTATATCCTCGTAGACCATCTGAATGCGGTAGCGGCACGTGTTCATTTACAATTTCATGTCGGAGCAGATGGCTGAACCGCTATCTTTTTACAATATAGAATGGGACGGAGAATTCGGAGTAAACAATCACGACTTGCCACTATTGGCCGGTACACCGGAGTAAAGGTTGCGGAGATTAATGGCATCTTCAATACTCCAAACTTTCACATTGGAAGCTTGGGACTCCAGGCTCTCAATCTCCAGAGCCAACTTGTGGAGGTGACATTGTCCGATACTATCATGAACAGGTATAATGCGAACGAGAAACGGCAGGAACCGGTTGTCTTCGTACGATACACTGCATGCATGAACCACAATGAGCCCCATTACGAGAAGATGACCCCAAAGCTGCTGAGGTTTAGGGGCCCGAGCATGCAGTAAGCCTCGACATATCATATTCTCTAGACAAATGATAACAAAGGTACCATGATGAGTATAACTACAAAGGCATAAGGCATTTGCAATACTCACGCAGGAGGGCATGTTAATTAATAAGATATCATCTTGCGCGTCTGGTTGGCTTATTCTGAATATAAATACCCTACCATTCTCCCCTTTCAATATCTTGGTCTCTGACATTTCCAACATCTAATTTCGAACAACATATAGTTAACGAAATAACATCTCATTATTTTCAAAGTTCAACCGCCACCAAAACACATTGACCAAGATAATGGGAAATATTTTCCAGCAAGTTTTATTTATTCTCAACATCGGCCTGGTTCTATGCACTCCCATGAGGCAGGAGTATCATGATTTTGCAGGCTCTCGAGAACTACACAGATTAAACCATACTGTCCCAGTCACGTTCAACGGCGTGGCAATCGGAACGACGGAGCTGAGTCCTACCGCAGAGATTGGAACTATACATTCGCCATCTGATGGGCATCATTTTGGCCACAAAGGGTGGCTCCTAATTGATACCGATGGACCAAGCTGGCAATACTCGCCTCGAACCGAAACTATATAGTCTCCCAGAAATACGAAAAGATTTGTAGACATCATCACTTTCGTTGTGAATGCTGCAAATGGAGCTGGATCTTTTGTTGATGCAATTACCTCGGGTGTTTTCAACAGCTTTGCGACTCTTTTTAATGGAATGTTTGGAACTGGTGCTGTTAGCATATCGTGGAGTATGCAGTCTCCAGCTCGGATTGAGTTCTTTGAGGATGGCTTGGAGGTTGTCGAATCAAGTTCGCTTATTGGGGACTTGCAAGACATTTTTGTGAATGCTCTCGAGATATCCTCGGCAGTATAACCATTCGTTATATTTATTATATAGGGACCTTTGGTAAAAGATCCCTACATATAGTTACAAAGAAGATGGTTATTGAGAGTATATTTGTAACTATATGTGACTCGATATAACTACATACCTGATACCTAGCCTGGAGAGGAGACTTCATCTTAATCTCAGTACAACTGTTGGCTACCCAGTTCGCAGATACTCGGAAAACCCAAGAAGATACTGACTACTCGGGTCCCGTGCAACTATTAGGAGCCGTATACGGAGTGCATTACCGATTTCAGATTTCATTTACATAGGAAGTTAGGTCGTGACATACATCTCCAAATCCAAACCCAGAATGTGCTAAAAACTCATAAAAGGGAAGGCAAATTAGAAAGACGAGAGTAACTGCAGAACCATGCCTCAATACGCGTTTCTTCTCTCCCTCCAGTTCAATAACATATCGCGACTGCAATGATTGGCCAGAACGCCGGAATCAAGGCCGCGGAGATATAATGGCATCTTGAATACTCCGGAGTTTCTCATTGGAAGCTTGGAACTTGACCAAAGCCTTGGCAAGCCACGGCCAAGTCGGCAAATGGTATCCGCGAGAGAATATCTGATTGGTGCTTCTTCTCCGCCGCCAGTTCGGTTTTACATGTTGGGCATGTTTGGGCCATGTCTTGATTGGATACAGCAATGGACACGCATTCCAGGTACTATATTCCTTCTCATCAACGTAAACAGGCGTGATCCGGCTGCTTAAATCCGCGAGGCAAAGCCCGATGCATTTTCGGGTTGCAGGTGTGAGACTCGGGTATGCTACTCCACAGAAACGGGCGGCAGATGGAGAAATGATGGGCAAGAAGCGAAAGCAAAGGGCCGACTGGGCTGAGCGGGCGAAAGAGAGAGAAGAGATTTGTGATGGATGGGGGATTGCCAAGGGCGTTGGTTGGCCGAGAGAGTCGGCGGACGGGTAAAGCAGAAGGAAGCTGGGCATTTAGCTGATGAATCAACCGGGGGGGTTGTGCATGTACTGTAGTATGTAAGGTAAGCTGCATCTAATCTACCTGAGTGGCTAAGGATCTACAGTATTTGCCCTCAATCTTCTCCGTTCCTCTTTTTTCTTTGTTGGGTTGTGGACGAGGCTCGGTGTGCGTTTTGAGAAGCTAGATCTGGAGGCCGAGAGGGATTTGTCATTGTTTCGATTCCGAGCCGGATGGCGTGTTGGGTTGCAGCAGAGATACCAGGTCCAGGTGCCTTCAGGGCTGGCAAACGGTGGGTAATGATGTGCTTTGTCCTGCCAGACTATCGTCGCATTATCGATCTGTGAGATGACGTCTGGTGGAGTAGCACGAGTTGGTTTGGTGGCATGCCTGGGCGTTGAATCTGCGCTCCGTCTGTTGCGTTGAAGGACGGTCAGGATTTTTTCATGTTACGGTTGTTTTCTACATTTGTCGTCCAAATGGTCATGTGTGTGTTGAAGCCGCAAAACAGAGCTTTCGTCGTTGCCTACCACCTTGCCTACCTACCTTAGGTACTGTATGTATTACGGTACAAAGGTATGGATGGTGGAGTGGATGCCTGTGGTGATCCGGCTGAGAAGCGCAACACGAACTCAATGGTCATGTTTCTTTTTTTAGAGCGAGAGATGGGGAGACAAGGAGGCACACGACCTGTGAAGCTTACGGGGACTAGCTTTGGGGGTGAATATATTGGATGGACAGCACTGGAGCGCTTGTACGAAGCACTACTGTACAATACCTATAGCAGCTCAGCTTCAAAGTTCCAGACAGACGGTTGGAGGTTGTTGGTAATAGTGTGTAGAAACGAATGCACGAGCTCCCACAAATCTGTTAGACACTTTGTAAATCAACGCCCATGCACGCAGGTGAAACCGATGCTGCCACAGCGCTCGTACAAGCACAGGCATTCGATTCCACACAAGCTACTAACTGCTGCATGGCATCTAAGCGCCGCCCATTCATTCATTGCCTGCGGAGCTTTGGACAGACCTGAAGGAGCCTGCATTGCAAAGTTCCCTGGTCCTCTTTTTGGTCCAAAAAGCCACGTTATTTCTTGGCTAGCAAGGGGTTCTTCCCCACAACACCACCACGGCGATGCGAGCAAGAAGCGCTGCGATTCGTCGCGGCTGTTTGAGAGAGTCGGCTCTAGTGCTAAGAGACCGCTCGAGTACGTGTATTATACACTGTAGTGCCTGGAGGAACCTGCTGTACTGTAAGGATCCATGTCTGAACCGATGATTTGACAAGGCGGGGGTGGAGGCGGAGGAGGAGGATCGCGGCGATGATCGAGAACGGCCAGGACGAGCAAACGGAGGTCAAAGTGCCTGCAGCTGCTAAAAACCTCCCTGTATCAACGTTCTCCGTCCAGCTAGGCAAAAACAAAAACCCACAGCGAGAGGGTTCATGCCTAGTCATGTGAGGCGATAGGCGAATCTACCGGTGCGAGTTAGATGGGTTGATGGGCATTTGATCATAACAGACGCAAAACCACCGATGCGATGCTCCGCAGATAGGCAATTGATTGCTGCAATCAATCGCCATGAGGCACTGTTGCATTTACCAAATACGCTCCATGTGCGTGCCTTGCTGCTGTTTCGCCCGTCGAGCCAGAAAAAAAGGCGGAGCTTCAGGCGAAAACCGCTCGCTGCCCGGGTTCGAGTTGGCGTCATCTTCTGCCAGCCCACTCGGCTAATATCCAACTTTTTTTTCCCTCTTCTCTCTCTCTCTCTCTCTCTCTTGTTTCGTAAACGTCCGGCGACATATCCTGGCGGCGCTGACGAAATGAGGCGTTTGCCGAAGCAGACAAATCAAAGTGTGGCAAAGCTTTTTTTTTTTTTTGCGAGAAATTGACTTTCTTTTTTCCCTCCCTCTCTCTCTCCTCGTTTTCCCGGCTAGAGCAAGAAAGAACTGGAGTTGGGGATATCCCCTCGTGTGTATGAGTGCGAAGTACTCCGTATTGCTCGAACGGGGGGATCAAATGAAGAGTGTTCGACTGAAGATAGCTGATGCATTAGTGCTGGAGCAAGCGTGCCGTACAGGCCACACAAACCCAGCGAGACGCTGCATGGTGTGCATAGCGTCGCATGCAGCAAAGGGAGATGCCTCCGCGTGGCTTACCCCGGATATATCATACGACAACCGCAGCCCAGCTGGATGGGTCTCGTCTCTCTGTGCCTCGTGCGGTGCGTGTTTCGGTCTCTCCACTCGATCGAAGAGGGCCAAGTTGCTTTTTTGGCTGCTAGCGAGTTGCTGGGGGCCAAAACCGAGATTTGGTTTGAGATGGCATGCTGCAAAGAGCCACTGCTTTTTTTTTCTACCTGCCCTTGTTACTAGACGAGACATGTGAGGGTTGCAGGAATAGCAACATCATGGCCGAGACATGTTATCAGAGACAAAGGGCAATGCTTGTCGGTTCTTCCCTTGCGCTCAAAAAGTAAAGTATAGATATTTTAAGCATCTTGCAGGTGGTATCGAAGCTTTTGCCGACCACCAACACGCAACTGTAATTTACCAAGCCTGCAGAGGCTGCCAGGGATCGGGATGCCAAGGTTTCCAAATTGACGAGTGCCCGTTGGGAATCCTCCTCCCGTGGCACACTTACTCGTGTCGTTTTCACCAGTCTGGCAATTGTATTCGCGCGCCGATGCGCAAGTCAGTCAGTCAGTTCAGTCACCTGAGGCACCAGACGGCATATGGATTACAGAGCAGCCAACCCAACAGCTGGACTGACTCGAGGTTTTTGCCGGTTCATTCAACATTGAACCTACGAGTACATACACAGCATCAATCCGGCATCACGGCCTCTTCAGCTGCTCGAAACGGGCGTCTCCATCGGGAAGCGATTTTCCCGCCGGGCTGGAACCATGACCTGTTACTCGTACATACCTAGCCTACCTTATGCTCGTAATTGCTTCCATCTCTGCGTCTCTCATTCGCCTCGACCACAAGCACCGTTTCCCTCCCCCACAGCGAGTGAGTTCTGAGCGGCCAGCCAGACGCCGCCTTAGCGCAGGCCAGCCCACTGCTAGTTTTCCCAAGCCTGCGTCTAGCCCTGCCTGTTTCTCTGCTGGTCTTCCGTTAATTCGGCGCTAGGGCCCTTCTGGCAGCGCATGGGATGGGAACCTAGGCCAACACGCAGAATCTGCCCATCCAGACTTGTACCACTTGCGGTATTAGTCGCCGTGCCACATGAAGAAGGGTCGTGTGTGCGATGAGCAACGGTACAGTTACTGTGCTATGTGCAATGATAGTAGTGCTAGCACGAAGGACTAAGATTAGGTACGGAGCGCTAACGAAAAGAAAAAAAGGCTTGGGGTACCTCGCCCTCCGCGGCCGCGCGCGCGCTGCGCAAAGTACATGTACTCGTACTGCGGGCAACAGTCCGGTGCCAGCCCTGGGCCCTGCAAGCGGCCTGTCCCCACCGGCCCACAGCGAGCTGGGGAGCCCCGAAGAAAGTGCCTGGAGTGAGTCGCGGATAGCGGACTTTGGACTGGGGGGGTTCCAGAAAACCAACTGGACCGCTTCCATGCCTGCTGTGCGAGTCTTCCGCGCCCAGACGCATCTCTGCCTCTACTTCTGCTTCTGCTTCTACTTTCTGCTTCCTTCCCCCATCGCTTTCTTGCTTTCTTGCTTCTTTGCTTCTGCTTCTGCTTCTCCCTCTCCTCGACACTGCGCTTTTGCTCCCTGCCGTTTTTGCGCCCTTTCTTTTGCTCTCTGCAACTCGGTGCGGCCTCTTTTTTTTTGGTCTCCCGCTCGCTCCTGGTCCCTTTTTCTGTCGGCGCCGAACCGGACTCGCTCTTGTCTCATAACGCTCTCTTCCACCCGAAGCGGCGCTCCAGCCTCCCACGTCGCCATCACGAGCAAAACCCCCCCAAGCAGAGGGGAAAGGCCCGAAACAGCGGGCTGGACGCTTCTCCGCCAAATCTCGTCTCGTTGATCAACCGGCTTTCAACCATTGATCCGTTTCTGTTTGGTCCGTCCCTTGTCGCCCGCTCGTCGCCTGCATCCTTCGAATGAATAGCCTCGCCCGCCGTCTTCGAATTCGTTGAGCGGCTGTTGCGCGGCTCTGGCTGCTGGAGCTTCTTTGTCCTTGATCCACCCCCCTCTATACTATATCCGACATCCGGCAGCACGGCGACACCATGGCCGGATTCTTCAACAAGATTAAAGGCGCGAGCACGGTATGCCCCCTTCCCCTCGGACGGCCGTGTTCCTTTCGTTCGCAAGGGAACTTTTGAGGCGATTGCTGTACTCTTAGAGAGGACGCCGGCATCCCTTGTATCCAGATATGCATGGTTGCTGACAAAACTTCCTTTCCAGCCGTCAACTGCTCAAACTACAAAGGAAGTGGTGGCGAAGAAGAAGGATGAGATTCCACCAGAGTTGACCCCGCTTGAGAAGATGCTGCAGAATGCGGGACCCTTACGAGAAGATGCGGCTGACAGGTTTTTTGGCTTCGAAAACGTATGTTGACCATCCCGTGCATCTAGGGATTAGGCCCCTTTCTTGTGTGACTGTCACCATGCTAACATCGAGCCGTAGTTTGGAAACACCTGGTTCGCTCCATCTTGTAGACCCAATCGGCTTGGAACCGCATCTCACTAACTTGAATTTGTTTAGCTATTGTAACTCCATCGTACAGGCTTTATTCTACTCCGACCTATTCCGCGAAAATGTAATCAACTATCCATCACTATCACCATCAGATACCCCCAATGGCAGCCGGCCTCAGGTCAACGTCACCCTCCGCCCACCCATGAACCCCACGCCAGCGGCTCAGCAGCCGACCAAGAAGGGCATCAGCACCAAGGAGGCGATGAAGCAGAGACAGACGCTCAATAATGGGCAACCGGCACCCGGCCAGCCTGCGGTCAAGCCTGAGGATAAGCCAGACACCCCTGAATACAAGAAGAAACAAGCCATGCTCAAGGGCCCAATCCTAGAACTAGCACAGGAAAATGGCATGGCATACGGCATGGACGAGTGTACCTTTACGGGTCTCAAAGACATCTTTCTGGCAGTTCTTCAGAGCAGCACCAGGACGGGAGTCTTGAGTCCCCAGCGCTTCCTTGAGATATTCAAACGCGATAACGAAATGTTCCGAAACTCGATGCACCAGGACGCTCACGAATTCTACGGCCTCGTATTAAACGACGTCATTGCCAATGTCGAGGCAAATGCGAGAAAGACCCAGGAACGTCTGGAAATCAAGGGTCAAGCCGACCTTACGCAGTCGGTGCAGAATGCCTTGGGGTCTGCGATGATGAACAACTTACCGACGGGCTACCGTACTCCCGGGACAGGCTGGGTCCACGACATCTTTGAGGGCGTGCTGACCTCGGAAACAAAATGCCTGACTTGCGAGACGGCATCACAGAGAGACGAGACTTTCCTCGATCTGTCCATTGATCTCGAAGAGCATTCATCCGTGACATCCTGCCTACGAAAATTCTCCGCCGAGGAGATGCTCTGCGAGCGAAACAAATTCCACTGCGACCACTGTGGCGGCCTACAGGAGGCCGAGAAGCGCATGAAGGTCAAGAAGCTACCAAAAGTACTGACTCTGCATCTCAAGCGATTCAAGTACACCGAGGACTATAGCCGCCTTCAGAAGCTCTTCCATCGTGTTGTATACCCCTATCACCTGCGCATGTTCAACACCACAGAAGACGCAGAAGATCCCGACAGGATGTACGAGCTCTACGCCGTCGTCGTTCACATCGGTGGCAATGCGTACCACGGCCATTACGTCTCCATCATCAAGACCCCTGATCGTGGGTGGGTTTTATTCGACGACGAAATGGTTGAGCCCGTTGATAAGCACTTTGTCCGCAATTTCTTTGGCGACAAGCCCGGAATGGCGACTGCCTACGTCCTCTTTTATCAAGAAACCACCTTTGAGAAAGTTAGAGAGGAGCAAGAGAGGGAGGGTATGGAAGAAGTGAAGCTCGCAACACAGGCTGCTAATGTCGCGCAAGAGGACGGCGTGGCCAAGGAAGAAACCACCCCACTGAAGCGACAAGTGACACAACCCGTCGTGATGCCGGAACATGAGTCTCTGGCGAGTCTCGCACATGCTGCTACTGCTCCTGGGCTGGCAAATGTACCCTCATCGCCGATCATTGAAATGCCAGTAGTGAACGAAGCTCCATCTGCAGGCCTGCCAAGGACAAGTACGTCTAGGGTGGTAGAAACAAAGTCTAAAGACGACTTGAAGAAAGAAAAGAGAGAGCGCGAGGCTGCGGAAAAAGCCGCAGAAAAAGCTGCCAAGCAAGCTGAAAAGGAGAAGGAGAAACTAAAAGAAAAGCAGCTCAAAGAAGATGAGAAGAAGCGCAGAGAAGATCACATCAAAGCTATGCAAGCCCGAAGAAACGAACAAGATGAGCTGCAGAAGGCGCTAGAAGCCAGTAAGAAGTCTGCAGCGCAAGAAGAAGCCGTTAGAAAGAAGGAAGACGGCGGAGGCTTTGGATTCCTGGATCGGTCCAAGCGAGGCAGCAAGTCCATGTCGAAGCGCAGCTTTAGCTTCTTCAAGGACAAGAACGGCGCTCTACCCGATGGCGTGAATGGCGATGCCCCTGAAAAGGAGAAGAAAGGACGCATCAGCATGGGCCTAGGCAGGAAGAAGAGCACATCTTTTCTTTCTTAAACAGGGAGGGCAGTGGCCTTGATTTGGAATTTTGAGCTGTCGAATCTGCTCCAAAGCGCGAGACAGACAGACAACTAAGCATCTAGGAGGGTGTTGGATGACGGCGTATGGCGAATTCGTATGTACGATTGATGACGGGAATATTATGCATTTTACAGCCTTTATCTGAGAGGAAATCCTTCAGCACCCGACGATAAAAGAGAGAGCTGAGATGGTATGAGAGGTCATCTTGTTGTCGATAAATGGCAGTTTACGCCCTCTTGTACAACCTCAAAATGGCAAAGGGCCAAGGACAAACGGTGATATATATGCTCTACGAGGTAGGGCAAACAAACATGCACTGGGTCTGTTTTTGGTTGCAATGGGTAATGTACGGCTCACTACGGCGGGCTGGTACGTTTATTATTACTACTTTTACTATCTTTTTTATTATTCTCCTTCTTACGGCTCGCCCTTTGTCGATTCTTTTCTATTTTTGAATGTTTTTATTTTCTTCAAGAGCTGTACCATACACTTTGTTACTTGACATAGCGCTAGGAGGTGATAATATTACGGTAGTGGCTGCGTGTAGCAAGACCTTCAAAGTTGGATATCCAAAATATCAATCCTATTGAGCTAGCAAAAGCTTTATGGCTTGTGTATGTCCCGAGGAGTTTTCGAAAGCGATGATGACGATGAATGGTTCAAGTATGGAATGTCCCTGCAGTATCACTGACAGAGGTGAGAAAATTGGCGGTTCCGGCGGAGGATAATTGCACTTTAGGTCTGTAGATGCATCAATAGTGTCGTCTTTTGCCCGGATAACGAGCAGAATCACTTGTATTCACTCATTATACTGGGCTTTGATGAAATCACAAGTGCTATTGGCGCGTGTTGATTGAGATGAGACGCTGGTTACGATATACCTGATGCGGGGGATGGTTGAGCCGCTCCGAAGATGGGCCTCAGATTCAGGGAGAGACAGCCAAGTACAACAACATGTCATCAAAATCCAACAACGCTGGATCGAGAAACGAGACAAGTGTGCGTTGTTCACACCGCGAAATTGCAACATTTCACACAGTCAATGGGCGTGATTGACCATCCTCGCTCATCATCTTTATCGATTACCATCCCGGACACGTTTGAAAGAGGACAGACTGGACAGTGATCAGCTTCTTATAACGATGATGAGTGCCTCCTCCTAAACCACCCACAATGGAATTCACAGGTAAGTGGTCGTTGTTATTTATTCTCCTATCCATCGCCGATATACTAAACACAGAACTCGCGTCAGATCTCCTCCTCTTCGCCGTGCCACTGCTGCACCTCCTCGCAGCGCCCTACACCAAAGTCGAGGAATCCTTCAACCTCCAGGCCACCCACGACATCCTCACCTACGGCACGCCCACCCACGACGTCTACGCACGGCTCTCGTCCACGTACGACCACTTCGCTTTTCCCGGCGCCGTGCCCCGGACGTTTGTCGGGCCGGTGCTCCTGGCGGGCGTGAGCCAGCCGCTGGTTGCACTCGCGGGGTTCCGGCATGCGCAGCTCGTCGTGAGGGCCGTGCTGGGGTGCTTCAACGCCGCGTGCTTGGTGGTGTTTGGGGGAGCTGTAAGGGAGGCGTTTGGCAAGGGGGCGGCGAGGTGGTGGGTGGTGTTGAGCGTGAGCCAGTTCCATGTGGTGTTTTACTTGAGCAGGACGCTGCCCAACATGTTTGCCTTTGGATTGAGTGAGTCCAAACACCCCCCCTGTTCTGTCCATAGGTGTTGTATACTCAAATCGTGTATACACACACACACACACACACACATCTTTGCCCTGAAACTCACTCCCGTCTTATTTCTTCGTATTCCTCTCACCATGCTCACATAAAATCGTGCCAGCAACCCTCGCATCAGCCTTCCTCCTCCCCAAAAACGACGCCAAAAAAGCCCACGTCCGCCGCCGCCAGGCCATCGCCCTCCTCGTCTTCGCCACCGCCGTCTTCCGCTCCGAGCTCGCCATCCTCCTCGCCGCCACGGGACTCCTCCTCCTCGCCAACGGGCTCGTCGGCCTGCGGGAGCTCATCGTCGTCTTCCTCGCCTCCTTCGCCGCGTCGCTCGCGCTCTCCGTGCCCGTCGACTCGTACTTTTGGCAGAGGCCGCTGTGGCCGGAGCTCGCAGGCTTTTACTACAACGCCGTCCTGGGGTCGTCCTCCAACTGGGGCGTCTCGCCGTGGCACTACTACTTCACGTCTGCGCTGCCTCGCCTCTTGCTCAACCCGTTGTGCTTCCCGCTCATCGGGTTGGCGCTCTTCCATCCCGCGACATCTCGTCAAGTCCAGCGTCTCCTCATTCCATCCCTAGCATTCATCGCCGTATACTCCATCCAGCCGCACAAAGAAACCCGCTTCATCTTCTACGCCGTGCCTCCCCTCACCGCGGCCGCAGCCGCAGGCGCAAGCTTCTTCTCTTCCCGCTGGTCAAAGTCTCCCCTCTACAGCCTCGCCACCGTCGTCCTTGCTCTCTCCGTCCTCGCCTCCTTTGCCGCTAGCACAGCCATGCTCCTCCTCTCGTCACTCAACTACCCCGGCGGCGAGGCCGTCTCTCAGCTCTACGCCATCACAGCGAGCATCACCCCCTCCCCTTCCGAGCTGTTCGTCCACGCAGACGTCCTCACTTGCATGACCGGACTCACCCTCTTTGGTCAAAACCTCTACGGCTCTGTTCCAACATCTTCCTCTCCAGTCCTCGTCTTCGATAAAACCGAGGTAGACGAACAACTCCTCCACCCCGAATTCTGGTCCCAGTTCGACTACCTCCTCATGGAAGACCCATCTCTCGTCCTCGGAACATGGGACACCATCGGTCGTATACATGGCTACGACGGTGTCGAAATCCTACGACCTGGCCAGGCAGCCGTGTCAGCAGAATCATCCCCTGAGCAAGGAGCAAACGCCAATGTTCTGGGCCAAGGCGCCACCATTGCCACCATCAGGGACACAGTGAGGAAATATACCAGAGGCTGGTGGATAGGCCCTCGGATGTCTCCTCGAATACACATCATGAAACAAGTCCGAAACGATGATGCTGCATCCAAGTTGAAGATTTAAAAGCGCCCCGTACAGAGAAGATCTCCTTTTTCAATAGATACTGGCTATCGCATTAACACTGCTGGGTAGATGGTTGGGTTTTGACTCTAACATATGGAATAATACCAAGTAGAAACACCATATGGAGGTTATATTTATTATCAACAGGTTCAGTAAAGTTGCCACAGCTAGGTCAGAGGAAGGCTACGCCCCAGCCTTTGAAGAAACACCATATACAATAGATACACACTCGACCAGGAAAAAACGAAACAGAAGAAACTCCAGAAAAAGTAAATCGATCCAATTAAAAGTAATTTTTTTTTCTTGGTTTCTTCTTATACCATACTCCTCCACACCAATGAATGCACTTATCCATGCAAATCAAGAAAAGAAAAAGAAAAAGATTTCTGCGACTACTTTGCAATAACGATAATGATAGAGAAGAAGAAGAAAAAAAATACCAATTCCCCCTTTAAAAAACCGCTTTGCAAGCCCCAGTTTGCTGTGCTGTAGATAGATGCATTGAACCAATCGCCCCTTTCCACCAAAGAGGTTGTACAAAACGAATCATAACAATATATGTGAGGTATATATATAGTAAAAAAACTTTGCACCCACGCATCAAACAATCCCCTCCCAGGATTTCCCTCCCTCCAACCCCCCTCCAGTAAACAACTTTCGCCGAAAAGACTGCGCCAACGCAAAAGTCTCATATGTAAAATCCATCCGACCACGTTGTGACATGATTGATCCAGAATGCAACAAGGGAAAAATCAAACCCAAAAAAATAAATAAATAAAAAGAAGGGAACTCAAGCCCTCTTTTCAACGCCTCCGGCCTCGACGGCTCTACCCTCTCCCGCGGTTCTCGACCGCTTGGAGGTAATAGAAGAAGAAAAAAGGATTCCACAGAAGGCCCAAACAAAGTTATGAGATAAGCGCCCATCCGCTTCATGATAGGTTTTAGTAATGTACAACCGATCAAGATTTACTCTTGCTCAGTGTCACTTCCATCCTCTTCAGAATCTTCCACCTCTTCTTCAGCATCTTCAATCTCTCCCTTGATAGTCACCCCATTGCTGGGTTCATCATCAAGGGGACCATACTTCTCCTTGTAACGGTCCAACTCCTCTTTCTGCTTCAAGAAGAACTCAAACACCGCAGCCATGGGGGCACGAAGCTGGTTAAGCTCTCGAAGGGTACTACCTCCAATAGCGAGATGGCGCATAGTCAGGGTCGACACACAAGTCTATCGTTCATGTTAGAACAAGGCCAACAGGCAGGGGACACATTGGATAGTTCAGTAGACGCTTACCTCTATTCTGCTTACTTGATGTTCCATAAAATTGATCAAGAAGCGTTCAGTGACTTCGCCTCCTCGGGTCTTCATTCGCTCCAAGAGTTCCGTCTCTGGGGGCTGAAGTCCCGGACCCCTGACTTCCTCCAAAGTGCTGCACAACATCTCAAGGCGCAAGCTGACTCTCCACAATGACCAGATAGTGTCAGGATCAAATGCAAGGTCGCCAGACAGGACTGCAGTAGGCTTGTCGGCCATCAAATCTTGACGTTCATGTTGTAGGTGGTATTCAATACGGCCAGTGAGAGCATGAGGGTACAGAGAATAGACAACCTCGGGGTTTTCTAAGCCCTTCAACTTCTTCTCCCCCATCTCTTTGACTTCGAAACCCTGGGAGGTCAAAGACCTCAAATCCTTGCGAATAGCAGTCGCAATTGACTCGTCCTCGAAAGAGGCTTCTGAGCTGGCTGAAACATTTCGGTCTGTGTCCTGATAGTTCTCCAGGCAGCGTTGGATCTCGGAGATGAAGTCCGAAGACACCGTGATCTGGCCACCATCGGCACAAGCCGAAATACGTGATGCCTTGTTAACCATGGGTCCAAAGTAATCCATGCGACGGGTGACGGGATCTGTTTCGCTCACGCAATCC